CAAAGGCACCTGTAGCCATGGGCGGCACCTGTCCCGGGGAGGCGGGGCGTCCACCCAGCGGCGGTGGTCACACCTGGGGGACCCTGGAGTGGGCACACAAGTAACCGCAAATGGGCACAGTCGTTCTTCGGAACGGCTCACCTTGTGTCCCTGGGTGCCCTGCAGGGCCCTGGGGAAGCCCGAGCTGTGCTCGTGTCGGGAGTGGGGCAGAGGACGCATCTGAGAGCGTCTGCCGTTCCCACTACAGCTTTCAGGGTCGTTTAAAATATATTTTTAAGAAGTGACGTCAGAACCAGGTGATCCAAGCACCCCTGGCCCGTCTCTACCAAATCCCGCGGCGGCAATGGGCTGCTTTCCCACGTGAGGAGGAGAGCCAGGGCCCGGCGGGGGCTGGGGGGGCTGCGCGGCCAGGGTCTCCCGGCAGCCGGCTGCGGGACCAAGCTCCACGATCCTCGGCTCCGTCGGAGCGCCGCTCGTATTTGGGGCCCCGGTCCCCGCCGGACGCCCCTCAGCCGGCTCTGCTCCCACCGCCACCCGCTCCCCGGCCCCGGGCCCCCGGCGCAGCATGCAGTGGGCGAGCCACTCGCCAGGCATGAATGCGAGCCCTGCAGCGGCCCCGGGATGCCCAGGGGCAGCCCAGCTCCACAGATGTCCATCGGGCGGGTGGGCCACGAGCCCCCCTAGTCTCCCGGGCCCCAAATGCCAGGCTGTCGGTGCGGGAGGGGCTCCGGAACCGAAGCAGGCTCCAGGCTCAAGTCGTTGGCTTCGCTTGCACATGCAGCCTCTGGATGGAGACAGGTCACAGGCCAACCGTCCCCACCGAATAGGGACAGTGGAAGGACACGACGATCTTTCCCCTCCGTCCCCAGCTGCAGGTGCCCAGTCCCCCTCTTGGGCCCTGACTGCACTCACAGCAATCACAGACCATGTGGGGGATGCAGGGGGGACCCCGGTGAAGCTCAGTGCACCGACAGTGGTGTGAAGGACTGTCCCGTGTGTGCTGGGCGAGCGTCGTGTATGGCTTACCCGCCCCCCCCCCGCAGGCTCTCAGCTTCCTCGTTGTATAAACGTGAAAAATGACCCACTGCACAGGGCAGCTGGGAGGACGCGGGGAGAAGTGGGCGAAATCTAAGGGCCCGGGCCCCGCAGGCCCCGGGAGCCGCGGCTCCTATGATCGCGTTTGCTTTTGTTCTGTTTTGCTTTTAATGAGTCACTGAGATCTCAGTTACGGCGGGGGGGGGGGGGCTGTCCCTGGGCTGTGGATGGCCCCAGGGTCCCTGGACAGACCTCATCCAGGCTGCTGGGGAGGGGCTCAGACCAGGCCCGGGAGAGCAGACTTGGTGAGCCGAGCACCTGCCGAGCACCTGCCGCCCCTTTCTGCCTGGATGCTCGGCGCCTCGTGATGCGGCCTCCAACTGGCTCAGAGTGGCAGAAACCGTTGGCGCCCCTCGTCGCCGCGGATCCCTGGCACCACTTCTGTAGCACATCCCACGTGTCCTGGGCGGCGCTTTGCCAGGCTGGCATCGTGGCTGCGGGGCTGTGCCAAGATCCGCGTACAAATCCTGTGGGCTGGGGGAGAGGCCCCCATCAGCCATGCGGGCAAAGCGCTGCCAGGATCCCCCGCCCTCACTCCAGCCCTCGCTCGCTCGCTCGCTCGCTCGCACACGTGCACGACCACACCCTGAGAATGTATTTATGATCCTCTGCTCGGTGGTCAGTTTGTTCTCAGTCCACTTCCATTCTGATCTATTAGTTAGTGCCCATTATTTGCAAGGTCTTTTTTTCTTAAGATTTTTAAAAAATATTTTATTTATTCATTAGAGACACACAGAGAGAGAGAGAGAGAGGCAGAGACGCAGGCAGAGGGAGGAGCAGGCTCCATGCAGGGAGCCCAACGTGGGACTCGATCCCGGGTCTCCCAGATGAGGCCCTGGGCTGAAGGCGGCGCTAAACCGCTGAGCCACCTGGGCTGCCCTTTTTTTAAGATTTTATTTATTTATTCATGAGAGACACAGAGAGAGAGGCAGAGACACAGGCAGAGGGAGAAGCAGGCTCCATGCGGGGAGCCCGACGCGGGACTCGATCCCAGGACCCCGGGTCGTGCCCTGAGCCAGAGGCAGGTGCTCACCCACTGAGCCACCCGGGTGTCCCTATTTGCAGGGTTTTATAGATGTGATAGGAACAGAGGGAAGAGTGGGATGGAGCCCCCCTAGGATCAGAGTCTTGTGAAAAGGGTGAAAAGGCAGGTTGCTGCAGCACAAGACGGCACGCGGGGTCCTTCAAGAGCTGGACAGAGCCGTGTGGGAGCGCGACGGGGAGCCCTTGTCGCTGGGACACAGACAAGCTTCCTTCCTGGAGGAGAGGACATTTGGGACGGACCGCAGAGGACGGGCAGGATTTGGACAGAGAGATGGGGGTGGAGGGAAGAGGTGATTTCAGGCAGAGGGAACGGCCCAAGCGGGAAAGACACAGGGGAGTGGGGTGTGTTTGGGCCCAGGGAAGAGCCCCTGTTGGCTGTGAGGTTGGGGGGACAGTAGAAGTCAAGGCTGCAAAGCCAGGTCGGGATCACATCCTCCAAGGTCTTGAGCGCCAAGGTAAGGAGTCCACGGTTAAAGGGGAAGGCCTTAGGGAGCCAAGGACCGTTTTAAGCGCGTGAGGGTCCCGGTCAGAGGAACGGTCAGCAGTGGGGCTGGGCTGGGGCAGGACGGGGCTGATAGGGTCTGGGCAGAGGCATGGCTCCCGCACGCTGAGACCCCCCAGGCTTGCCCCAGGCTGGCGTGTGCCTGATTTGTGGGGGGCGGGGGGCGGGAGGGGACAGGTGGCCCTGGAGTCAGCTGGGGTGCGTTGAGATCTGCAGCCGTTGGAAGAGTCGTGGCAGGAGGACTTCAGGGGGCCAGACTGACGGCCGCGGACGTGATGCCCCGGGGTGTGGGGGGCCTCCTTCCTGGCGCCGCCTCCGGGACTCCGCCTGCTCCCCCCCCCCCCGCCCACCAGGCTGCCCGGCCCTGTCTCCCAGAGGCCCCTCGGGGTGCGGGCCTGGCTCTGCCCACTCCTCCTCCCGCGAGCCTCTCTGCTCCGGCCCTTCTGCCGTGACCTGCCTCCCGCCCTCTACCCCCACGGGACGGGGGTTCCCAAGCGTCCCTCCCGTGACATCACAGGGGCACCCCCGGCCTTCTCCCAGGCCATTGTCCCCCGAGACACAGGCCAGGCCTGGCGGGGACAGCATCCCACTTGGCCCTAGAGCCTTTCTCGTCGCGGGAGCACGGAGGCTGGCCAGGCCCCCCTGGAGAGCGGCCTGCACCTGCCTCACCCGGAAAGGGGTTCCAGGGGTCCCCGCGCAGAGCAGTCCTGCACTGGCAGGCCGTGGGAGGGTCCTCCTCCCGCCCAGCCGCCTTGGGAGCTCTGGAGCTGCCCAGCTGCCCGCCTGGGCCTCCGCAGCCCCTTCCAGAAGGGCTGCAGGGGAGGCTGGCGGGGGCACCCTCCTGGGGGGTGAGGCGGGGGCGCCCGGGACAGCCGGCGGGGCTGCGTGCTTTACTCTCTCCACGGCGGAGGGGTCATGCCAGGGCACCCCAGGGTCCCACACGGTTCCCGAGGCTGTGCAGGCAGCTCGGAGCTGGGAGGTGACTGGACGGCCTCTGTGTCTGTGTCTGTGGTCCCAGGGGAGCAGAGCGGAGGGTGGTGCTGGGGACCGGGACTCACGGGGGACCAGGCCACCCCAGGGGGACGAAAGGAGAGCAGGATAAAGGACGGCGGGAGCCAGGCAAGGTGCGAGTCCCTGCTGCCCCCTGCCCCCCCCACCAGCCTGGTCGGCGTGGCCCGGGGGGCTCCAGCCTCCCCGCCCGCTCCAAGGGCCTCACTGGGAGCTGGTTGACCATGAGGCCAGTGGGGGAGCAGGGGGCGCAGGGGAGGTGGTGACGGGGCAGCTCCAGAGCCGAGGAGGCCGGGGAGAGACCCGGGAGTGACCACAGCCCCACCAGCCTCTCCTCCCCCCTGGGCCATCACATGGCCACAAATGCAAGGGAACAGTCGCGTTAGAGCCTTTGCCGGCCTAATGGGGTACACGGGAGACCCCGGGAGGCCGTGGAACTTCAATCAGCCTGGCCAGCCTGGTGCCGGGCCTGTCGGGGCGCGAGAGCCTGGTACGGGGGTGGGGGCTGCGGCCAGGGCCACGGGGGGTGGGCCCCGGGTTTCGGCAGACACCCCACCCTCCCCCAGCCACGGGGACGTCAGGGGTGCTCCCCCCCCGGGGCCCCGCGTGTGGCGGAGAACGGAGGCTTACCCCGACGGTGGTGGGGTGGTGGTCGGGGTGGGCTCACCCCCCACGGCCGCCGTCGGAGCCCAGCGTCCAAGGTGCTCGGCCCCAGCAGGGTCAGCAGGGGTCGCAGCCGCAGGCCCCGGGAGGAAAGCGAAGGGGAAAGTCAGGACTGGGCTGTCTCGGGGCAGCCACGGGCGAGCGCCCGAGCCCAGACACGGCAACGACACGTGCGGCGCTTAGTCTCGGCTCCGGAAAACGCTGGAAGCCACTCGAGAGCCGCGGGGAAGGAGCGAGTGATAGAAACTCCCGTGAGCACTGAGCCTGATGCTGAGTCCAGCCCCGGGGGACAGGCCCGCCTCTGAGCTCGGAAGGACTCGGCCCGGTCCGGGGGCTTGGCGAAGGGTCCAGGTATGCGCGGAGAAGGGAATGTTCTAGACTAATCTGGAACCTGCCTGGAGCTTGGACTCTAAACCAGGGCTTCCAGCCTGGGCACCCTGGTCTCCCCGCCGGCCTCCAGGGGGCCGGGCCGTGCACGCGGGGCTCCCGGCGGCGCCCCGACCCCGGCCGCCGGATTCTGCAGCCCTGCGGCCCCGGGGGCAGCTCCACAAGCTGCCGAATGTCCCCCGGACAGAGCCCCCTCCGCCCCCGAGCCGCGGGCCTTAACGGGGCGCGGAGGCGGGAAGCAGGAGACCAGGGGCTGGCTGAACCGTGCCTCACGGGCTGCTCCTCTTCCAGACCAGAGCCCATGGCCCGGCCCGGCACCCACGCTGTCCCCGTGCTGTTCGCCGCCCTCCTGCTGCTCCTGGAGCTGCACCCGGCAGGCTCCCTGGGCCCCGGCGCCCCCGCGCGGAACCTCCCCGAGAACCACATCGACCTCCAGAGCCCGGTGCTGTGGGTGCCGCAGACCAGCCACCACCGCCACCGGGGCCCGGCCAAGAAGGAGCGGGCCCAGGACGGGACTGTGGCCTCCACCACCAGGCAGGCCTCCAGGCTGCCCGGGCAGAGGCCTGCGGGCCTGCTGCAGGACGAGGACCCGCTCCTGGGGCTGGCGCTGCCCTACCCTGAGAAGGACAACCGGCCTCGTGGGTCAGAGAGGGTCAAGAAACGCGGCAGGGAGCACAAGAGGCGCAGGGAGAGGTTGAAACTGCACAGAGGTAGCCGGAGGTCTGCCCTGGAAGGGGGGGCACGGGGGAGGGGGTCGGCAGGGGGAGGGGGCCATGAGGGAAGTGAGGACCCTGGGAGGACGTCGGGAGCCCCGGAGAGGGCAGGCACTGAGCCCCCGGGGCGGGGGGTCTCTCTGAGGTCAGAGTGATGCGATGGGGGCGCCGGGCGAGGCCGGGTGGTGGAGCTTGGGGGGGGGAGGGAGGCATAGCCGTCGAAGCTCAGCCCGAACAGTGAATGATCCTCCTCAGTCAGGAAGCTCCCCCTTGTGTCTGACCTAAATCCACGCGCGCATCACTGACCCACATCCAGGGCTCGGACCGGGCGCCCAGATGCTGAAGCCAGGTGTGCCCAGGCCGGGGTTGTGGCCCTGCCCCTTACCAGCTGTGTGCCCCGGGGCAGGTCAGCCTCCTGCGCCTCGGTTTCCCCGTCTGCATGAGGACGATGGCCCCGCGGACCCTAGTGTGGAGTCCTAGACGACTCAGACGCTTGGGAGGGCAGCCGGCGGGTCGGGTGCGATGAGCAGCGGGCGTCACAGGCCAACCCTGGACTTGTTCTCAGGCTGGGATCCCCGTCCTCGAGGCCAGACGCAGATGAGCTGGGGAGAGACGTGCTGTCGTCCCCCCGCCTCTGCCCCGTGTGTCCCTGGGGTGCTCCCCGGCCTCCGACTCTCCCCCACATCCCTGAATGCCCGTGAGGGCCTAGCTGCCCCCTGGCCGGCCGCCCCCGCCCTGTGCCCGCTCAGCTCCCGAACAAACACGTCCCGGCAGGTGCCCCCCCGCCCCACGCCCTGCCCTGGGCGGCTCCTCCGGGGGCAGCTGGCCCCGAGGTCACCAGGCAACCTGGGCTCCCGAGTCCCTTGGCGGACCAGGTCCCACAGATGTGAGATGGGTGTTGTCGCGCAGGAGGAGAGACAGAGGCTCGCCCCCCGGCCTGCAACAGCCGGGCTTGCTTCCCCGCCAGGCCTGCCCACCCCCGTGGGTGGCACACTCAGGAGGGCCCAGCTGACTCGGCCCGCACCACCGGAGCCGTGGGTCAGGCTGCAGAGGGGACGCCGGCATCCTCGAGGACGCCAGGGCCGTGAGCTCGTCCCGGCTCAGCGCCGGGCCCCAGCTGCATGGGGCCGAGGGGACCCCTAAGGGGGGAGGAGGCCGTGGAGGTCTCCAGGTCAGGTCCAGCCCTGCTCACGTGCCGTACAGCTCCGGTGACTGGGTCCCCGTTGCCCCATCTATAAAATGAATGGGGTGGATTTACTGGTCCCCGAGTCCCCTTTGACTCTTTGGGACTTGTTTTTGGGGCTTGGGGTGGCCTCAACTGGCCCAACCAAACGTACACTCGGAGCTTGCCTGAGAAGGAGGCGAGGATGAGCCCAGGCGCCCCGGGCTTCTCTCAAAGTCCCTTTGTTCTTGACCCCCCACCCCGCCGCACCCCGCACGCTGTCCCCTCCGCACTCAACCTCCTGCAACGGCCCTGAGTCTTGAGAGGTGGCATCAGTGGTTAAAAGACATTGGCTTCGTGCTCAGAGGGACCTGGGTTTGAATCCAGGCTCTGCTGCTGCTGGCTGCCGGCTGACCTCTCTGTGCGTCAGTCCCCCCATACGTGAACCTGAAGGAGCACCCAGGTCCTAGGCGAACGCCAGGAGAAGGGTTAGATAGAGTAATGCCCCTAAGGAAGGATCCGGCCCACGACGGGGCCCGGCACACAGCAGGGTGATGATCGTCACCACGTAGGAAGCACCTGTTCATAGAGGATAAGCTGCGGCTCCTACTTGTCCAGGTCCTCTCCCCCGAGATGCCTCCCATCACGTTATCCCCCCACTCAAACCGCACCTCTTCCAGGAAGCCTCCCGTGGTCAATCCCACTTAGTTCCCATTTGTCGCACTTGCACCCAACCCGGCCTTGAACGTGCTGGAATGTTCCTTCAGAGAGAGCATCCTTGGGCCGACCGTCTCCCCAGCAACACCACAAGTTCATCCGCGACGTCCCCTCCCTCCTCTCTCCCCGCCCCACCGGCCCCTCATCACCTCCAGGAAGGTGGGCAGCAGGAGCACTGGCTGAGCCCACGCCTGTCCCCCGGCCCTGCTGCCGCCCTGCTTGGGGCTGAAGATGGGCCTTGCCGTGGGCTGACGCGGATAAAGGCCCTGTTGCCCGCCCCGTGTCTCAGGCCGCGCCGTGCTCCGAGGCCCTAGCTCCCTGATGAAGAAAGCAGAGCCCTCCGAGGACCAGGCCCTGGAGGCCACCATGGAGGACTCCTCCACCAGCCTGGCCCCCACCATTCTCTACCTAACCACCTTTGAGGCGGCACCTGCCACGGAGGAGTCCCTGATCCTGCCTGTCACGTCCCTGTGGCCCCAGGTAAGGGGCCCCAGACCAGCTGGACACGGAGGCCCGGGGGTGGGAGGCAGCTGGCCGAGGCCTCCGAGCCAGGGGGGCGGGTGCCTGTGCAGCCCAGCTGCACCCCAGTGCACGCTCTACTGGGAGGGCTGTTACTGTCCGGGAGGAAGGGGTCCCAGGGGCTCAGTCCAGGGACAGGCAAGGAAGCAGGTGCCAGCTCAGCACGCTGGCTCTGCGTGGGAAAGAGCAGGGGCCTCGGGGAGGAGCAATCGTACGTTTGCCCAAAAGTCCAGAGAATAATAATAGTAATAATTTAAAAAACCATGTCCCCAGGGCGCCTGGGTGGCTCAGTCGGTCAAGCATCTGCCTTCAGCTCAGGTCATGATCCCAGGACCCTGGGGTCGAGTCCTGCATCTGGTGCCCTGCTCGGCGGAGGGGTCTGTTTCTCTCTCTCCCTCTGACCCCCACCCTGTTCCTGCCCACACATACACACTCTCTCTCTCAATGGAATACATAAAAAATCTTAAAAAAAAAAAAAAAACCATGTCCCCATGACACAGAATTAATAAACGTAAGTCAGCACTTTGAGCTCTCTGCTTCAGATCTCCCAAAAATCCACATGGCGCACGCAAGCCCGGGTGGCAGACGGGCGCGCCGTCGGTGATTGTAGACGGACGGGCACGGAGGAGCTACTAGCATCATTCTCGGAACTAACAAGAGGCGCACCCTTCTTGGACCCCTTCCGTGGCTTTGATTTTTTTCCCAAATATGATTATTTAAGGTGATCAATAAAGTATATGCATAGAAGAAATAAAACTTTTTAAGCAGTAGGTCATTCTTACTCCCTTTTGGGTCTTGTCCCCCCCCCTTGAGATTTTTTTTTTAATTTCATTTTTAAGGGGCGCCTGGGTGGCTCTGTCGGTGAAGCGTCTGCCTTGGGCCCAGGTCACGACCCCGGGGTCCTGCTGCTGGGGGGGGGGGGACTCTGCTTCTCCTCCCTCTGCTCCTTTCCCCCTCTCACACTCACTCTCTCTCCCAAATAGATAAATAGGATCTTTTTTGAAAATTTATTTTTTAAGTCATCTCCACGCGCACCACGGGGCTCCAACTCACAGCCCCGAGGTCACAGTCGCTCTCTGCACCGACTGAGCCCGCGGGCGCACCGCCTCCCCTTGAGATTCTTTTTTTTTTTTTTTAATTTATGATAGTCACACACACACACACAGAGAGAGGCAGAGACACAGGCAGAGGGAGAAGCAGGCTCCATGCACCGGGAGCCCGATGTGGGATTCGATCCCGGGTCTCCAGGATCGCGCCCTGGGCCAAAGGCAGGCGCCAAACCGCTGCGCCACCCAGGGATCCCCCCTCCCCTTGAGATTCTGATGAAAGCTAGGGACCCTCTCCAAGGACCACCTGGCAGTGATCCATGCTGTCCAAGGCCCCCTGAGGCCCGTCGGTTGAGAGCCCAGCCCTCGAAGATGCCATCAGGGCCCATGTCCGACCCCCAGGACCGCCGGCCAGGGCTGTGAGCCCAAAGGAGCTGTGGCCTCAGGGCGCCACAGAAGAGCCAAGAGCTTTTTGGGGGGAGAGAAGGGGCGGGGAAGTGAGTGGGTGGGCGACGGCCTCATCCAAGCCCCGCCCCCCGCAGCACAGGTGTAGAGACCCGCCAGCAGGTGCACCTGCTGCCCCAGCCGCTCCCCCACAGGCCCGGAGGGATATCACCGGCTGCACCACCCCTGCACCATTCGGGCCCTCCCGCGGGGTGGCGGCTTTGCGGCCTGGGAGCTGCCTGAGTGCGGCTGGAGCGGGGCCTGGGCAGCTGTCCCCGTGTCCCCCCACCCCGGGCTGGGCTTCCAGGCTGGCCTCTGAGGATCCCTCCTTTGCCCTCGGGCTCTGGGGGCCCCCATTTCCGCTCCCGCTGTGGGAGCTGCAGGCCCCCCCTCATGCGCTGTCTGCAGGCTCCGCCCAGGCCTGACGGGGAGGTAATGCCCACGCTGGACATGGCCTTGTTCGACTGGACCGACTACGAAGACTTAAGACCCGAAGTCTGGCCCTCTGCGAAGAAGAAAGGTATGTCCGCCTACCCTGCCACCCCCGTGTCGGGGCGGGGGCCCCGGGGAGCCCAGCCTGACCTACAGATGTCCCGGGGGGGCGCGTGGAGCGGAAACGGGAGCTGACAACGGGGTGCAGATGTTGCTATCGGGCCCGAGGGCGTGCTCGTGCTTTCCTCCGGCAACTCCTTTTACCTGCAAAAAACCCACAACCTGCTGGGTCTATCCTACCATCGATCCCATTTTAGAGAGGAGACGACTGAGCCAGAGAGGTGGACAGTCCTGTCCACGCGGCCCAGCGCGGGGGGCAGCACGGGCCGGCGCTCAGTCGCTCTGGCCTGCGGGCGTCCGCTTCTGACGGCGCGTCTTCTTGTCCCCAGAGAAACACCGGGGGAGACTCTCCAGCGACGGTAACGAAACATCCGCGGCTGCAGGGGCGCCGTGCAACCACCACCAGGACTGCCTGCCAGGTACCTGAGCAGCGTCCACGCGCAGGGCAGGAGGCTGGGAGCCAGGAGGGGGGGAAGGGGCGGCGGACGTCCCCGGGCCCCCAGGATGATGGACGCTAACAGCCATGTGGGAAATCCCCATAGCAACCCGCCGAGAGGGCCCCTCCCATGGCCACTTTCCCAGCCCAGAAGTGGGACCCTGGAGAGGCTGAGTGTCTCTGCTGAGGTCACACAGCCAGGAGGTGGCTCCGGCCGGGGCCTGTCTGGTCCTTAACCACCGCCCCACGCTGTCCCTCGACTTTCTCGGGCTTAATTCTGCCCTCGTCCCCTTAGGACGCTGTCAGGCCTGGGGGGCGGGTGCCGTCACGACGGCCTCACCTGTGCAGCAGCTGCGCCCATCATCCCGTTTTGGCTGGTGTCCTCAACTGCTGGCCCTTGTTGGGTCCATGGGGACCCCCCCAGGGAAGGAGACACTGGGGTGGGGCGGTTCCAAGTGCAGCAGGTTTACTCTGGGGGAAGACGGCAGGCCTGTGAATGGCCTACGGCAGGGGGCGGGGAGCAGGACCGGACCCAGAAACCGGGGAGGCGGTCTCCGCCAGCCCGCGGGGAGCGCCGGGGCAGGGCTGCGGCCCACGGAGCCCGCGTGGGCCAGAGTGGCTAGGCCTGGTCGCCCTGCTGTGCCCGGCCCTGGCTGGGCTGCCGGGGAACCCGGGTGGCGTCGGCCTGGGGGGTGCCTGAAGGTGCTGCAGGCCGCCAGCTGACCGCCCCTCACCTCCCGACAGCAAGAAGGGAGACCAAGCCCTCTTCCGCGGTGCCCCGCTGGTGACCTCAGCGGCCAGAACATTGCACAAAGTAGCGATCACGGCGGCAGTGTGGCTGTTTAGGGCAGGCCACCAGCTCTCGGACCCACTGTCTCCGCTCCAAACCATTGTTCCCACCCCAGGGGAAAGGGCTTGAGCTGGGGCCAACCGGGCAGGCGGCCGAAGTGCGGGCTGCATCTCTAGAGGCCGAGCCCCTGCCTTGGGCCTCCCCGGGGCCTCCTTCTGGGCCGTCCGGGGGCTCCCCGGGGGTCTTGGTGTCCCCATTGTCAAAGAAGGTGTTGCAGCAGGTGTCCCTAGGGCCCCCCCAGCTGCTCTGGCCCCTCCCGCCCCGCCCATGAGGGGCAGCTGGGGTCCCTGCCACCGGCCCCGCGGGGCCCTGGCCCTGAACGTCCTCGGTGGTCCTGGTAGGGGGCCTTGTGCAGCAGGCGGCCCTGCCTCGGAGATGACGGATCTCCTGTCCGGCGGGACTTTGTGCGTGTGGGGGGAGGGTCCGGGCGGCTGGGCCGACCGCGCTTGCTGTGTGGGCAGGGACCTGCTGTGACCTGCGGGAGCACTTCTGCACGCCGCACAACCGAGGCCTCAACAACAAATGCTTTGATGACTGCATGTGTGTGGAAGGTGAGCCTGCGCTCTCTGGGGCGGGGGGTCCCCCGGTTCTGCACGGAATAGGGGCGGAGACGTCCTGGCAGAGGGCGGGCCGGGGCCCTGGGGAAGGAGAGGGTGGCGGGATCCCTTGGGAGCAGCGCCGCTCGGTGCCTCCCCAGTCTGTGAACTCATGGAGTCTCGACTCCTGGCATCGTTTCTCAGATTTGCTTTCCTCGCCTCTTGAAACACAAGCTGGCGTGATCGCCGGCGAGATCGGAGGTGGGAGGGGGAGGAAGGGAGCACGTGTCTCCAAATAAGACGGAATCTGAGAAGCCTGGCGCTTTACCCCCGAATTCTACCCCGGGGCCGGCATTCCCGGGGTGAGAACGAGGGCTGGGCGGCGGTGGCGGTGGCCTTCCACCAGCCCGGCGGCGTCCTTCACGCTCCCGAGCTCCCGCCCAGGTGTGCCCGGCTCTGTGCCCTGCACGTCACTCCAGTTATCTCTCATCATCCTCGCAACCGTCCCAAGTTAGGACCTGTTACTGGCCCATTTCACGCCTGAGCCAACTGAGGCACGGAGAGGCTAAGCCACCTGCCCAAATTCATGCAGCTGGAAAAGTCGGGGAATACTTTTAATTTCGTCCTCCGAAGCATTTCCAGTATATGTGTTTGAAATAAGGAGCCCCTGCTTGCCGTCACTCGGCTTCAGTACTTACCAGCTCCCACCAGTCCCGGCCGTCTTCCCCCCACTGAGCTCCCCGATTCTAGTCTGATTTCAAAGCGACTCTGGGGGGAGTTTACTCATCTTCCACCTGCGAATATTTCAGGATATATCTCTAAAAAGATAAGGATTCCTTTAAAAAATAAAATACAAAAAAAATATAAAAAAATAAAATAAAATAAAATAAAATAAAATACCGGGGCGCCTGAGCGGCTCAGCCGGTTGAGTGTCCGACTGTTGCTCTTGGCTCAGGTCACGATCTCGGGGTCGTGGGACCGAGCCCTGAGTCGGGCTCCACGCCGAGTGCAGCCTGCTTAGGATCCTCTCTCTCCCCATCTCTCTGCACCCCTCTTGCTCTCCCAGGCACACGTGCTTTCTCTCTCTCAAAAAAAAAATTTGAACAATAATTACTCAATATTGTTCAGTAGCTAAACGGTTGCTCACATGCCCTGAGTGGGAGAATTTGGTCTCGGCCCTTCTATTAACCATCCTGGGACGCAAGCCCCGTTTTTGCTCGGATTAGCCTCAAAAATTATCTGCTGTGACAGCAATAAAGCTACTTGGGTCTAGTCAGTGAAGAGGTATCTACCGAGTGCTCTCGAAGGTTCTGGACCTTTGAGATGCCGGGGCAGAGAGAACTGGCAAGCCGCTCCCACGGATTCCATTCTAGCGAGATGCGCAGATATTAAGCAAATAAGGCGACAAGATGTCTTTAGAAAGAAATAAAGACTCTAAAGAAAATCAGGGTGGTCCGATGAGGAGTCAGAGTTGTTTTAGAAAGGACAGCGGGCGGGAGGGGGGTGTGGACCCGGCCACCTGAGGATGGAGGGTGCAGGGAGCGAGGGAGGGCCCCACCCATGCAAGAAGCAGGGCAAAGGCCAGAGTGAGGCTGGCGTGTTGGAGCGCCCCGGCCCACGGTGGCCCACAGAGAAGGTGGCTGGAGGGGCAGGGTGCGGGGGACGCTGGCGGAGACCATCACGCAGGACCTGGCTTGATTTATAACGGAGGGCGTCGGCCGGCTGTACGCCGAGCAGTGACCCGGCCTGGCTGCGGGCCTCTGGGGGCAGGAGCGGAGGCCGGGAGGGCCCATGGAGGTGAGGGGATGGAGGCAGGCGGAGGTGGCGAGGGGCGGGAGATGCGGAAACGACCTCCTGTTACCTGTGTGCAGCGCTGAGGCCCCATTTCACAGAGCAGGAGACTGAGGGGTGCAGGGAGCAAGAGGGCAGTGCAGCCCAGGGAGTCCCGACAGCGCTGAGGTCCCCTCACAGCTCCTGGGCCCCTAGGTCCACCCCGGCGCCCGGGTGAGGGGATGCGGCCCTACTGAGCTGCACGTGCCAGGTTGGTCCGGGCTGGGCGGCCCCTCTGGCCAGGGAGCCTTCCTTCCTTCTTTCCTGCCCTGGACCCTCCCCAGGCCACCCCCCAAGCCCCTGCAGCTCATTTCCTCTGATCCCTCTGGATCAGGAAGGAAGCTCTTGCTTCCTCCCTGGAGACTTAGGATCCAGAAAAGAAAAAGGAAGGCTGGAAGTGACCGCCCAGGAGGCTCATGAGAGCCGGTCCAGGAGGAGGCTGTCACCAAGGTGCCACGCGGGAGGGACTCCCTGCTTCCTCAGCCCAGGGTCCTCGGCCAGCCTGGGTCGTGGACGGTTCTGGAAGGACTTCCGTGGGAGCCAAGCACTCCTGCTCGTGAATCCCCGGCTGCTTCCCAAGTGTCACTCGTGTGGCCCCATGACCCAGGTGTAAACTCCAGGCCCCTGAAAGCACAAGCTTCACAGCGGTTCCTTTATCCTCTCGGGAGCGACACGAGTGGATCCTAGAGTAGCCACGTCCTCTCCTCCCGGGGCCACGCCTGACCTGAAGTGCAGGGATTGCTCGGGCCACACTCACACCACCCAGAAGGTGTGGCCTTCTGAGGCCTTGAATGAAAAATATGCTTAGCCGTGTCTCCCAGGGGACGCCTGTGGCCACGACAGACGGAGCTTCGGCTACAACCCCTCCCCGTGGTGGCCAGGAGGGCCACGCCCACACCAGCTAGAGGGGTCGGGGAGGGTCTCTGAGACCTCAAGGCCCCAAAGAGGCCAGTGATGCAAAGCTTGGGCCAGGGAGTTTGGCTGCGAGAACAGCAAGTGCAAAGGGCCTGAGGCAGCACATGGCTGGGTGTTGAGGAAAAGCAAGAAGATTGTGTGGCTGGAGCTCGTGAAGAGGAGAACGGACGGGAAGGGGCAGACAGGAGGCAGGTCCAGGTCCCGGGGGGTCTTGCAAGCCAGAGAGGGAAGTTTGGATTTCCTTTTGAGTACGGGGGCAGGGGTCGTGGGGGGTTTTATAGGGAGGTTGGAGTCTGCCTTCCTTTGTCACTTTTTTAAATAGACGCTGCATCCTCGAGGCATCCGCCGCCGGAACGACGTGGGGCTCTAAATAGCCTCGAGCTCCATCTGTCTCTCCATCCTTTCGCCTTTTTTAAGCCGGCTGGGCTGGGCTGCCAGTGGGGACGGGGCGGGCGGGTTGTGCGGCAGAAGAGGAGGGCGGCGGTGAGAGGGCGTGGGCTGGGGGTGCCCAGGCATGGGGCGCCCCTGACCCCTGCCTCCCTCGCTCAGGGCTGCGCTGCTACGCCAGGTTCCACCGGAACCGCAGGGTCACCCGGAGGAAGGGCCGCTGCGTGGAGCCCGAGACGGCCGACGGCGACCAGGGGTCCTTCATCAACGTGTAGCGGCCCAAGGGGGGCGCCCCCCACCGGCCTGGGGACCCCGCAGGTTTGGAGAAGCCGGACGTTTTGTTGACAGCTAGTGGGCAACCCGATGGGGCCCAGAGACCGGGGCTGCGGGCTGGAGCCCGGGACCCTCGGCCCAGAGGGGAGCCCCACGCCAGCCGCCCCCCACCCCCGCCCCAGCTCCTGCCCCAGTTCCCGCCACGGCGGTGTGGGGAGTGGCCCCCGTGCCCGGCCTCGGCACTGCAGCGGCCTCGAGTCCACGGAGAGGCTTCCCTCGACGGGAGGAACTGCCCGAGACGCAGAAGCCGCAGCCGGGGCCCAGCGTTGTCTCCCCACTGAGCTCCCACAACGACCGTCCAGAGGAGACATGACCGCCGTCTTCCAGGCAGGGAAACCGAGGCAGAGCCCGCTGGGACTTGTCCAGGGTCCCAGATCGATGCTCCTCACACCTCACCCTGTAAGGGCCCCGGGGGTCTGACTACCACGCAGATTCCGGTTGGGTCGATTCTGTGTTAACAGGCTCCCGGGGTGGGGGGGGCGGGTGAGGGGAGGACCCCGCTGAGAGCACCCGGATCCTAGGGAGCAAAGCCGCGCCGAGCTGGGATCTGCTCCCGGGCCAAGCGTGTGGGGCTCCCCGCCGCATCCCTGCCTCCCCTCAACCAGGGGCTCAAGCCGGCTCCCCCGCGGCCTTCAGTGAGACGCGAGCGTTCCCCGGCGGCCCCCTCACCGCCGCGAGGTCCGCGGTGCCCGGAGGTGCTCTTCCCTCCTGGACAGAGGCGTGCAGCGTCTTCGGCTCGGCTAGGCCCCCTCCTGGTAAGGCACGCGGCGGGCAGATTGGCCGCTGCCCCTGGATGCGCTGTCCTGGGATCCGACGTGTTCGGGGGAAGGACCGTAGTGCCGCTTCTCGTCCTGCGGCTCGCTCGCCCGTCCCAGGCCAGGCGCCCTGACGTTGCTCGGACAGCCTCTTTGGCTTCTGTAGTCCATGCCCTTTGGGAATCCAGTGCCGATATGGACGCGAAAAAAAAAAAAAAAGCAAAAATGCATACGCTGTGCACGTCCAGCCACTTTGCACACTGCCTCCGTGGCTCCCGGCCTCCTGCGGACCCTCTCTAGACCCCCCACCCACGCTTCTGCAGCAGAGCCTACTGAGGAGCTGGGGCCCCTCGGAGTCCAGGTGCTGCCTGAAAGTGACTGCCCCCCACAAGCTAGACCCCCGCTGCCCCGGCACATCTGGCCCCGGGGGTCACTTCGGGAGGGCTGCTTAAGTGCCCCCCACTCCTGGTCGGCCCTTTGGTCCCGGGCCAACCAGGTTGCAAAGGACAAAAGCCTTCCCCGTCCACATTCCCCGCCGGCCTGGACGCCTGCCGAGGGCCCACACCGCGGGCCTGGGCTGTTTGCTCCCCTGGGAAAACCAGCCGGGGTCAGAGGTCTGGCACCAGCAGAGCAGAGACATCTAGGAGAAACCAAATATCCTTGCTCATTGCTCCCTGCCCACGTTCCACGGGCAAGGAATCCTCGGGGTGGGGGCGAACGAGGCGAGATGAAAGCGGCTACCGGGAAACCGAATCCGCGGCGGCTTTGCCAGAGGGCACCCAGGCAGCGCCCGTGCTCTGCGTGTCTCGGGGGGCGGCTAACTGGAGACTGTGACGCAGCCCCGAGGGGGCAGGCCGCAGGCAGGACACGCGGCAGGACTTACACGTGGCCTTGCATGTGTCGGGGGTGGGGGGTGAGGATAACAGGGTGGCCCCGGGACATCAACAGCGGAAAGCACGAAGGGCAGGACAGCGAGGGCCCCGAGGAGCTGTGCTCGTGCACCAGGGCGGCTCCAGGGCTGGACGGCCGGTGTCTAGCTCTCCGCGAAGGGGGTGGGTGCAAACCTCCTAACACCAGGGTTAGAGACCCCAGAGCCCCCTCAGTTCTTCCTTAGGTCTCTCTTAAGTTTGTTTGGCGAGTGCAGAGGTCACTTCCCCTTAATCCGGGGTTTCAGCAAGTTTTGACCATAAAGGGCAGGTAAATATTTTAGGCTGTGGTCCAATAAAACGGTTCACGGACGCTGAGATTGGAATTTCATATGCTTGTCACATGTTCCGGATACTACCCTTCGTTTGATTTTCCAAAACCCACTCAGAAATGTAGAAAGCCCCTCCTGACTTGCAGCCGCAAAGCCGGCGGTGGGTTGGATGTGGCCCACGGGGCCGTCGTTTGCAGGTCCCTGCTCTGGTCGGCTGTGTCCGGCGCGGCTCACGTTAGAATACTTTGGGGAGCCCTCGAAGGAGCGGGTGCCAGGCCCCTGCACAGATGCCGGGTCCTCTGGTCTGGGTTGTGTCTGGGCTTCGTGTGAGCGAGGCCCCCCAGGCGGGGCCTGAGCTCCGGGCCCCTCGACCCCGCGAGTGCCTGCCGCTGGCGACAAGCTAGTGCTGGGGTGTCGGGCGCGCGACCCCCGCAACGGGATCCACTTTGCAGGGTGGGGGGGCAGGGAGCACCCAGAACCCTGCCCGGAACGAGTTTACAGGACAGCAGAACAGCAAGGAGAGTGGGTGCTCGGGGGGACCCAAGGGGAGCCAGGGAAGCAAAGCCGTTAGGATTTCGCGGGGCGGGCCCGTCACCGCCTTGATGACCTGGCCTCTCGTGGGCGGCAGCGAGCGTGCACGTGTGCATCTGTGTGTGTGTGTGTGTGTGTGTGTGCGTGTGTGTGTCTCAGGGAGGGGGCGGCAGGGTGAGAACCGGAGACCTCCGCTGCAGGGAGTGTGTGTTCTGCACCGAGTCCGGGCGGGTGGTCTGAAGTCGGATCCTCAGCTTCCTCTGGGCGCAGGAGGCGCGGGGTGGGCCGGCAGCGCGGCATCGGGCCGGGGCTCGGCGGGAGTGCGGGGTCCCGGGCCCCAGCCCAGCCCCGCTGACCCCGAGCCTCTGGCGGTGCTGGCCGGGGCAGGGGGGGCGGACATCAGGGTTTTAACAAGTTCCCGGGCCGCTCTTGAGCACAATGAAGCGTGAGAGACCCAGGTCTTGGACACATAAAGGGACACAGAAGAGGTGGATGGTCGGGGACGGCTGGCGATTCAGGGCGTCTGCGTTCAGCTGGGAGCCAACTTCCAGGACCCAGGGCCCTGCCTCCCTGGCGGGGGCCTCAGGCTTTGGGTTTTCCGACCCTCGGAGCTTCCCTGGGGTCCTGTGCCTCCTCCTGAACGTGTGGGGCGGCGGGGTGCCGTGCCCCTTAGTCCTGTGATGACGTGTTGCATGTGTTCTCTTGAGCTGTAAATAAAGAGCCGATGGTTGTCGAGCTGCCTCACGGTCTCTCTCTGCCTCTCCCCGAGACCATCCGGGGCAGGCGGGGAGCACGCTCCCTGCGGGGCCCCGAGTATTTCCTCCACCACATCTTCGTCTTCGAGCATTTGCGCTGAGCTCAGCGGGAAACGAGACCGTCTCTGTCCTCAGCTGGACCTCTTCGTGCTCCTTCCGTCAGCCTCTGGGTGGGAATTTGATATCTGCACCTCCCTCTCCATTTTAGGGCTGGGGCAGCCGAGGTCGCAGCAGGCCGGCCTCGGTCGGGGCCTGGGTGGCCACGTGCAGTGAAAAGCAGACGCCGACTCCCCCCGGAATGGGAAGGATAAAGTGCCGCCACCTGACGCGGGGCCTGGGCAGGCTCAGATGGCATCCTGGGAGAGGGCATGAACTGGCCAGGGGGTGGCCTGGCTTGGCCCCAGGAGGGCCGTCGCTTATCTCGGTGGCAGCTCCAGCCAGCGCCACCCGGCTCCGCTGAGCTCCCTGCCAGGCCTGGCTGAGGGCAACACAAAGCAAGGCTGCATCGCCGCTCTCGGTGCCTCCGCGTCCTGAAGCCAGGGGGGTCCAGGCTCTCCTGGGGGCTGGGGTACCACAGAGGAGGGAGGCCCCCAAAGGCCTGCTGTCCCTCTGGGACTCTCCCTGCCCAAGCACCACTGTAGCCTGGATGGAGGCGGGACGGGGAACCCCCTAATCCCGGGTTTCCCAAAACGTGGGCCTGGGATCTGGGCTGGGCAGGGAGGGGGGGTGCCCAGGGGGTGGTGAAGCGGTGAAGCGTCTGCCTTCGGCTCAGGTCGGGATCCCAGGACTTGGATCGAGCCCCACGTCAGGCTCCCTGAGCCTGCTTCTCCCTCTCCTCTGCCTGCCACCCTCCCCACCCCACCTGCTTGGGACACGAGCTCGCTTTCTACCAAATAAGTAAATAACATCTTTTTTTAATTTTATTCGTTTATTCATGAGAGACACAGAGAGAAAGAGACGGCAGAGATGCAGGCAGAGGGAGAAGCAGGCTCCCCGCAGGAAGCCTGATGCAGGACTCGATTCCGGGTCTCCAGGATCATGCCCTGGGCTGAAGGCAGGCGGTAGACTGCTGAGCCACCCAGGCATCCCAATAAAATCTTAAAAAAAAAAAAAGTTCCTCTAAGGGGAGAAAACCAAAGTTTGTGAGCCCCACTGGAGCCTGTGGCTCAGCGTCTCTAGGGAGGGGGCTTGGCCATCTGCGGGTTTGAAGAGCCCCCTGCCTGGGTTTGAGACCTTCCTGAGAGCTCAGTCTCCTCCCCACGCAGGCCCCAGGCGGCTGGTGAGCCTCGCGCTGGGGATGGTGCTGGGGCGTCGAGCCCGAAGCTCCCCCTTCATATGAGCTCCAGGGTCCTCGTCACCGTGGCCCTGCTGCTCAGCATCGCAGACAAGGCTGAAGGCAGATCCGCACCAACGAGTGAGCTGTAATCCTCGTTCACACGGAGGCTCTGCCCGGGGTCTGCAGTTTGCCGAGCCCCAGGCCTGTACGGCTGACTCCGGGGTGCGTGCTCGCAGAACCCTCCGCTAGGTATTTATTTATTTATTTATTTATTTATTTATTTATTTATTTATTTTTAATTTTTTTTTATTTTTATTTATTTATGATAGTCACAGAGAGAGAGAGAGAGAGAGAGAGAGAGGCAGAGACACAGGCAGAGGGAGAAGCAGGCTCCATGCACCGGGAGCCCGACGTGGGATTCGATCCCGGGTCTCCAGGATCGCGCCCTGGGCCAAAGGCAGGCGCCAAACCGCTGTGCCACCCAGGGATCCCCTCCGCTAGGCTTTTAAAAACCCCTCTGTCCCGGGACATCAACTCAAATCCATTTCCTTATTTTTAAAAGATTTTATTTCTTTATTCATGAGAGACACAGAGAGAGAGGCAGAGACACAGGCAGAGGGAGACACAGGCTCCATGCAGGGAGCCCGATGCCGGACTCGATCTTGGGACCCTGGGGTCACGCCCTGAGCCAGAGGCAGACGCTCCACTGCTGAGCCCCCCAGACACCCCTCAGATCCGTTTGTGCTCATGAGGGTCAGAACGGTACTGAAGTGAACCCACGGCCACGGGGGTCTCGGCTCCCTGCTGGCAGCCTGGGTGCTGCCCTCGGGGCTCAGGTAGCTGCCCTGGGGTGTCAGCCAGGGTTCTCCAGAGAAGCAGAACCAATAGAATTTGTTTTTTTTTTTTTTTTAGAATTTGTATTTACGTATCTTTACACGTCTGTGTATTTATACTGTATTTATGCCGATCTATTCTGCGGCACCGGCTCACACTCGCGCAGGGCCGGCAGTCCGCAGGGCGGGCCTGAACCTCCCGCAGGCATTGATTCGAGTCTCGAGACCACCTCTCTTCTCGGAGATCTCAGTTTTTGGCTCTTCGGGCCTTCACCTGATGAGATGAGGCCCACCCACAGGGTTCTCCTTTACCTGAAGCCGATTGCTTGTAGATGATGATGCCGTCTCGGCCGCGCCTAGGTCAGCGTGTGCTTAAATCCTCACCTGCTACAGCTGGGCCGCCACGAGACCGAACACCACTCGTCACGGGGGGCGCTCCTGGAGCTCGGCGCCCAGCTCTGGATCACAGCACCCGGGCACGAGGCAGAGTTGTGTTTGGTGCGTCCTGAAGTTCTGGGCTATCTGGGTCCTTTGTCAGCTTGCGCGTCAGGTGGCAGCAGTGACCACCATCTGTCATGTGAGGGGACACGCAGGTCCTCACCTCACATTGGGACGGGAAACCCTGCAGGGTGGGGGTGCGGGAAGGTGGGATCGTGGACCTTGCCCCTCCTCCTGCCCCTCGGTGATGGTGGACCCTGACACCTGTCTTTGTGCCCAGGGACGCCCGGGCCCCTCCTGCAGGTGACAGTCCAGAGGGCCAGGCTGGCCAGCCCCACACACTGCGGTCCTGGTGTCTGTCCACGCCAGGCCTTGACCTCGCCTCAGGGCGTGCACGGAGCAGAACGTGAGCTCATCTGCCGGGCTGCACCCACGGGGGTGGGGGGCACCCTCCCCTTGTGCAGCTGCAAATGGGTAGAGCCGCCCTCCCAGAGCAGGGCACACACCGCACCGAGAGATAAAGGCCACTTGTCCAAAGCAGTGCAGCTGCTTAGTAGCAGGTACCAAGGGCCCCGGCCGGGCCTCTCTGACTCCGGGACCTGATTACGAGCCCCCGTCTCACGTTGCCTCTCAAGTGCCACGAGTTTGCTGAGCACCTACTAGGAGTCCGGCACCTGTCCCGCTTGCCCCTTCCGCCCCGCCCACACCCCAGGTCACAGGGGCTGCCCGGTGCATCCAGGGCCACCGAGGCTGCTCAGGGCCAGCAGGGGACAGGAGGTCTGCTGGGCAGGCCCCAGCCCTGGGTGGCCGGAACCGAAGGGCATGGCTCCCCTGGGCCGCCTTCCAGAAGGCCCCTCGGGTCAAGGTCCCTCTCAGGGGCCCAGCTGCCTGACCCCAGCGCCCATGTCCCCATTGTTCCGTCTCCCCTGCACGGGCGCAGGCTCCCTTGCTGCCCGCCCCCAGCGGAGGAAGGTGAGACCTCACGGAGCCCGCAGATCTGGACCCGAGAGCCCCGTGGGCCATTCTGACACGTTCTCTGGTCCTGACGTGAGCGCGGGCTCTGGAGGGACGGGGCAGGTCTGGTGAGGCCTTGCCAGGACGGGGCTCCCGCCAGCGAGGATCACGGCACCCCGACGAGGCGGCGAAGCCTCAGGGACACCGGGAATCACGGGCTGCATTTTAAAGCTCAAGGCTGGTTTCGAGGAACCTGACTGGGACCCACGGACGTCAGCCGTGATGCTGCCACACGCCCGGATTCTGAGTCGTTGGGACACATATTTTGGAAGCGGCCCCCCTGTGCTTTGACCAATCATAAAAACAAAAGCGTCCTCTAGAGAGGAGGCCTCTCGCACCTCCCAGCCTTGTCCGGGCGCCTCCGGAAAACCCGGGAAAGGAGAAGTAGCAGAACCCGACTCCCTCTGGGCCTGTGCTGCCCCAGGATCGTGTCCCCTTCCTGGCTCCGAGTGAGCGGTGCTGCGACACGGGGACTGTCCTGATGAGTCACAGTGGTGTTTGATGCTTCCAGTGTCTTGGCATCAACCAGGCTCTGGGCTGAAGGACAGTGAGTGAAAGCTGGGAGCCCAAGAGAGCCACCCGACCCCAGTCCTACCGGGCTCCACTCGGGGCCCTTAGCCCCTGCCCATGCCTGGCCGTCTGCTCACGGCAGCTGGCCCTTGGGAGGAGAAAGAAGAGCACAGCCACGGGGGCGCCTGGGGGCTCAGGGGTGGAGTATCTGCCTTCCGCCCAGGGTGTGACCCCGGGGTCCTGGGATCGGGTCCCGTGTTGGGATCCCTGCAGGGAGCCTGCTTCTCCCTCTGCCTGTGTCTCTCAGGAATAAATAAATAAAATGTTAGAAAAAAAAGGAAGAGCACAGGCACAGATCCCAAGGCCAACACTGACCCACAGACCCCAGGCCTTCCCTAACCCCGGACCTTAGGCCGAGAAACACAGAGTCAGCATGACGGACACTAGCTGACACAGACGCTGGAGGACAGGTCTCAGGTCAGACCCCAGAAACAGCCCCTGTGCCACCAGGGCCCACGGCTCTGCGTCCAGGCCCTTCTCGGATCTTGCGGAGGGTCCTGCTTTCTGACAGGCACCTGTGACTCTCCGACGACGGTGTTTCGGCGACGCTCCAGGCTCTTTTCCTTCCCAGTCTGATTTGCCGGCTCTGAAAAGGGAGTGGCTGGGCCGCATCACAGCTGTGGGCCTCCCGCGCCTTGAGAACCAAAGGACCTTAGTGGGAAGGAGCTTCAAAAACCTTTTCATATTCGGTGCCCGGGACTGATTATCACTGTCCTCATTGTCAGGATGCAGAGAAAAACTTGGAGGGATTAGGTGACAGATTAAGTGACAGATGCAAAGTGGCAGCGGGGGGGGGGGGGGGTGGGGTGGGCCGGACGCAGAGGTCTCTACTAGGAAAAGGAGGATGGGCGTCTTCTGTCCATCAGAGGGGTCGCCCCGGTGCCTCCATTCAGCAGGATGTATCGTGGACCAGGACCTGCTGGGAGACGCTGCAAGATGCTATGGGGCTCGTTTGGGGTTTGGGGTTTGTTTTTATTTTTGTTTTTGTGTTTATAGCAGCAGGGCAGCTCTTTGCTTACGGAGCATTTATGACGAGCCGGGAGCTGCGCCAGGCGTGCTACGTAAATCATCTCACGTGAGCCCTGCGGTCACCCTGTGGCTCGGCGTGGCTTCACAACTGGCCCAAATCGCTTTGCTATAGGAGGAGGCAGGGCAGGCGCCCAAACACGCACCTTTGCCCAGAGGACCCCGGCATGCACAGGAAGCACATGGGACAGTGGTTGTGATGCCGGCGTCTGAGGACCCAGAGCGGGGTCCTGCAGGACCCACCAGCAGGTCCCTGGCTTCACCCAGGCATGTGCCGGGGAAGCAAAAGCAGAGTTTAATGAACAACGTGAGCCACAGAATATAGCAGACGGGGCGTCTGGGAGACTCAGAAAAGACAAAGCCCGTCGTCAGTTGGCGCAGGGGTTTACACCGCAAAGGAGGCTAGGGTACAAGTTCCCTCGGGAACCCAGGGTAGGGTCCGACCAAAGACGAGTGACGGGTGAGTAACAGGTGTTATTCCATAAACCACCAAAGGCAGGGGCATTGACGCGCGTCCGCCGAGCTTTGTCGAAGCCAATGTCCCGGACGGTGTTTGGGGTCTGGCTCCTCTCAGGTGTGGTCAGGTGTTTGGGGCCTGGAACAAGACTCAGAGAATGGTCAACCTTGTAGCTTCCCCCTGAAAGTGGGAATATCATTTCTTTGGCTTGTTCAGAGGCGAGTGCAGACCAGGAGTAAATGAAGCCGCATAGGCCTGGGGCCTATTTTTTTGTTGTTATTCTATGTCTTTTTTTTTTCTTTTTAGGTGTTTCCTGCGTGGTTCGTGTGCTCGGGCACTGTCCATGGGGCTCTGAGCAGCCACAGGAATGTGTAGGTGCAGACCGCAGACCGGGCTTCATCTCCAACACCGTGGGAAAGGACTGCGCATCACGGGGCCGAGCCCGTGCTCCCCTACGTCACCTGGATCGCGCCTGCGTGTTCTAGGAAAGACGTTAGGGTTCAAAGCCGACGGCCAGGGAAGGATTCTTGGGGCACCTTTGGTACAAAAAAAGTGGTTTTATTAAAACACAGGGACAGGACCCGTGGGTGGAATGAGCTGCACTGGGGTGACAAGGGACCCACTATAGACTGTCAAGTTGTGGGGGGGAGGTTAGGGAGAGGGTGAGCCTCTAAGGAATTTTGGAAGCAAGGATTCCAGGACCTTGAGGGGCTGGCTAGTGTTGGGAAAGGTCATTTATTACCGGCTGATAAAACCTGAGTCATGAGACCCTTCGGATGTATGTCGGGGGCCATGTGCTTGGGGGATGACCCCCCACACACATCTTGGGGTAGAGACAAAGGAAGTTTCCAAAGGAATTTTTTAAAAGATTTTATTTATTCATGAGAAAGACAGAGGCAGAGACACAGGCAGAGGGAGAAGCAGGCTCCATGCAGGGAGCCCGATGCGGGACTCGATCCCGGGACCCCGGGGCACACGCCCTGAGCTGAAGGGAGATGCTCACCCACTGAGCCCCCCGGCGGCCCCTCCAAAGGAGTCTCTACATGTTAGACTCTCAGGCTCCTGGGGATCGGGCTAAGCTCACCCGGTGCCCTCAGCAAAGTGTTGACAGTGAGGCAGCTGAGTCCCCGGAGGAAGGTCCGTCCACCCGTGTCTGGGACTTGTCTGTGGGCTGTAAGTAGGAAAGAAATTTAATTTTTCCGGTCTCTGTTTCCTGCATCACGGGGAGTGACCTCCCGGGGTACCCGCGTCTCAAGGGAACTGCAGGGAAGCTAAGAGCCAGTCGTTACCACCGGCCGCCGCCGTGGCTCTCCGGGACGTGCTTGTCACTGCGGCGGGAGTTCGCGGCTCCACACGCCCCCTTCACCTCCGGGACCCCGGAAGGGCTTGGGCCTGACACCAAGTGCCCGGCGTCCGTGGGCAGACAGGGCAAAGGCACGTTTTCCTTACCCGGCCCCCAGGCAGGCTTTGCTCTCTGGGACCTTGGCCAAGTCATCCGAGTGGCAACAGCCTCTCCGGTAACACAGCAGGAGTGGCCGCCCCGCCACGTGAGACGCAAGGATGTGAAAAGAGAGCCGAGAGCCTTTCTAAAGGCAGGGCCACTGCCCCCAGGCACCCCCCCTCCCCGCCCTGGCAGAGCCTGATTCCCAGCGGGACCCTGAGCACAGGCCGAGGGGTGGGTGGCAGGTCATCCAGGTCCTGTGACGGGAGGAAGCGGTGCACACGCACGGGTCGGCTGGTGTGTGGGTCGGTTCACCCCCAGGGCCTGCTGCGTGCCAGGTGGGCAGCTGAGCACCGCGAGCGAGACCCCCTGTGGCACACGGTGGGGGGGAGGCGGCAGATAAGAAACAGCCCGCAGGTAGCCCGAGAGGCCCACACCTTCAGACGTCAATAAGCGCTACAAAGAAAATAGGATAGGGTGCCCCGGCGTCTGGGACAGCGGTCTGGAAATTTCTTAAAAAGGTGACTCGACACCGGCCACGTGACCCGGTCCTTTTGCTCCTGGATATTTTCCCAGATAGGTGTTGGGTGACCGGCCCGGGCGGGTGAGCGGATGAAATCATCCATCCTGCACGTCTTTCTGGGTCGAAGGCGCAGAGGCAAGGCCTGGCCGCGGCACACAGGACCGGTGCGGGCGCGGGAAACCAGCCCCCGGTTCCGCGGCCTGCTCGCCAAGGCCACGACCCCAAAGCCTCAGGGATCCGCTCTGCAGGGGATCAGGAGCAGCTCGAGGCAGAAACTCGGGCTCCTGGGAGAGCCGGCACGTTCCTCTGTTGCCCCAGAGCGACCCGCCAAGTCCAGCCACCAGGCCGGGCCCTCACCCAGGCCGCCAGCCCAGGATGGACGCAGGGTGACCGCGGGAGCCGCGGGGACACTGCACGGCCCCCGCCTGGTGCCCTCCGCTGCCCGCTCGCCCCAGCCTTCGCAGCCCAGCCTGGGCGCCGTCTCCCGGACACAGAGGCTCTAGCCTGAGGGAGCCCGCCCTCCGGGGCCCAGGCCAGGCGCCCACCAACCGGGGCCTCGGGAAACCCTGCCGCGTCCTCACCTCAGTCGCCCTGCTGAACCGAAGGGCGGGGATGACACCTACACCGCGGGGTCACTGTGACTGAGCGGGTCTCACACTGCCTCCCACCGATGAAGTACTTAATGTCGCCCGTACTCCCGGGACTTGTTCGGGGTGCACCGTGCTCCTTCTGAGGCGACGGCGGTCTCGTTACACATCCGGAGGCTTGGAGGAAACGCGGCGAGGACCTGCGGTGCAAGGGGACTAGCTCCTAGAAGAGGATTGATAGGGACACCTGGGGGCTCAGTGGGCGAAGCATCTGCCTTCGGCTCAGGTCATGATCCCAGGGTCCCGGGATGGAGCCCCACGTCGGGGGCAGAGGGGGTCTCGGCTCAGTGGGGAGCCTGCTCTCCCTCTCCCTCTGCTGCCCCCCCTGCTTGTACTTGCTCGTCCTCTCTGTCAAATAAATAAAATCCTTCCAAAAATAATAAAATCAAAACTTTGGGATCCCTGGGTGGCGCAGCGGTTTGGCGCCTGCCTTTGGCCCAGGGCGCGATCCTGGAGACCCGGGATCGAGTCCCACGTCGGGCTCCCAGTGCATGAAGCCTGCTTCTCCCTCTGCCTATGTCTCTGCCTCCCTCTCTCATTCTGTGTGACTATCATAAATAAATAAAAATCAAAAAAATAAAATCAAAACTTTTTTAATGAATAGAATTAATAAATAATAGAATGCTATAATATCCACCATTTATTTGGGAATGACTCTCTTCTAAGATATCACATAACCAATCATTAACAACGCCTACTGCAGGCGGCCCCGATGGCTCAGCGGTTCAGCGCTGCTTTGAGCCCAGAGCGTGATCCTGGAGGCCCGGGATCGAGTCCCGCGTCGGGCTCCCTGCATGGAGCCTGCTTCTCCCTCTGCCTGTGTCTCTGCCTCTCTGTCTCTCTCTCTCTCTCTCTCTCTGTTTCTAATGAATAAATAAAATCATAAAAAAAACCACAACACCTACTACTCGATAACAATAGTAACCAGTCCTGATTTAGTGCTTACTACCTGCGAGGCGCTGTTCTAAACGCTTTTTATGTATCAGCAAATCCTAACAGCCCTGTGAGGGAGGTGACCATTATTATCCTCATCTTACTGTGAAAAAACGAAAGCACAGGGAGGCAAAGCAACTTGCCCAATTTCAAGCAGTAAGTGGCAAAGCCAGGATACAGACACCTGTTCCCCTGTGTGCTGACTCTGGAAAAACCAAGCTCGGTGTGTGGCCATTTCCCAGCTCTCGATCACAGTGGCAGGTGCTGCGGTGCTCTGTCCCCTGGGCGGGAGCATCGAAGCAGGCCTGTGAGCCCCGAGCCCCTGCAAAAAGTCCCCCTTTCTTTGTGTCCAGAGAGAGTCTGCGTGTCTTGATAGGCTCCCCGGACCCTCCCACTCCCCACGGCCAGTCCCAGGCCGTTTCGCAGCCTCCCACCTGGTTTCTCCCTCCCAGAAACGGGAGCAAGCACTCAGACCCACCCTGAGGGGGGACCCCTACCCCAAGTGACGCTCAGGGAAGCGGGTGTTCTCCAAATGAAAATGTTCTCCGGTTTCGGGTGAAGGGTGGGCTGGGGAGGGGTGAGGGGAGGGAGTGGGAATCAATGCTCCTATTTGGGGTGGGGAGAGGGTAATCCCTAAGAGAGGTGCCGGTTCCCGCCCTTCCTTTCCGCAATTCTTCCCACTTACAGTTACAAGGGGCAGACAGCGTTTAAAATCTTTCCGTTCCCTCCCCCTTCTGGAGACAGGTGCGTCCTACAGATGTTCTGCTGTTTTCCAGCTACGTTTTCCTGCAGCTTTTGGTAGGAGACTTGAGGGGACTCCCCCCAGTGTATGGTGATGACCTTGTGCCGGCGATGACAGCAGCTCATGTGTACCCCCCTCGCTTACTAAGTGGCAGGTACTGTTCTGGGCGCTCTACCTTGACAAAGACGCTCTCCTTGACCTTATTCTAGTTAGGCTCCTCCGAGCCCTCCTCCCAACCAGGCCTGGCCTGTGTCCCCCTGTCCTTGCTGGCGCCGCAGGATCCAGCTTTAGCAAGGATCGCACTCAGTTGAGTGGGGATCCCCGGCTTTGCCCCCGGGGCACCGTCCCCACCCCCCCACCCCCCGTCTTTGGTGTCTCGGTGCTGGAATCCTGTTGCTCAGTGTAGGGAGACTCTCCCCGCCCTTGACCGCTGCTCTTGGTAGTTCCCAAGGCGGCCTGGTGCCCGGGGGGCGGGCTCCCTCCCTGTCCCCCTAACGGCGATGCCCCTGCGCCAACCGTCTTGAACCAGGTCCCCCTCGCCGCTCCAGCCAGGGCCAGAGGCTTCTGTCGTCACCGACGGAGGAGTCCGTCTAACCCCGCACGGCTCCCGAGGGGCAGGTTATGGGTGAGGCTGGGATGGTGGGATGGGGAGGGGTGAGAGGGCGGGGAGGCGGGGGCGCCCTCGGGAGGAGGCATCAGCCGCCGCCCCTGGACGGTGCCCCCGGTCCTGGGCTGCAGGGCGTCCGGTCCATGCACCTGCTGGGACGCGCCCCGGGCAAGACGGCGCCCTCTGCGGGCCTGCGCGGGAGGCGGAGGAGCCCGGACCCCGGAGGGCGCGACGCCGTCGCCTAGCGACCGGGGGCCGGGCCACGTGACGCGCCTCGCGTGGTGGGGGCGGGGCGGGGCGAGCAGGGAGGAGGGGCGGGAGGGGTGAGCGGGGCAGAGGGGAGGGGCGGGAGGGGCGGGAGGGGTGAGCGGGGCAGGAGGGGCGGGGCGAGCAGGGAGGAGGGGCGGGAGGGGTGAGCGGGGCAGAGGGGCGGGGCGAGCGGGGCGGTGGGGCGGGGCGAGCGGGGCAGGAGGGGCGGGGCGAGCGGGGCAGGAGGGGCGGGAGGGGCGAGCGGGGCAGGAGGGGTGGGAGGGGTGAGCGGGGCGGGTTGCAGGGGCGAAAGGGGCAGGAGGGGCGGGAGGGGTGAGGGGGGCGGGCGGGGTAGGAGGGGCGAGCGGGGCGGGCGGGAGGGGCGAGCGGGGCAGGAGGGGCGGGAGGGGTGAGCGGGGCGGGCGGGAGGGGCGAGCGGGGCAGGAGGGGCGGGGCGAGCGGGGCGGAGGGGCGGGGCGAGCGGGGCAGGAGGGGCGGGAGGGGTGAGCGGGGCAGAGGGGCGGGGCGAGCGGGGCGGAGGGGCGGGGCGAGCAGGGGGAGGGGCGGGAGGGGTGAGGGGGGGGGGCGGGGGGCAGGGAGGGGGCGGGGCGAGCAGGGGGGGGGCGGGAGGGGGGCGGGGGGGGGCGGGCGAGGGGGGAGGGGCGGGGGGCGGGAGGAGGGGCGGGAGGGGTGGCGGGGCGAGGGGGGGGGCGGGGCGGAGGGGGGGGGAGGGGCGGGGGGGGAGGGGTGAGGGGGCGGGGGGGGGCGAGGGGAGGGGGGCGGGGCGAGCAGGGAGGAGGGGCGGGGGGGGAGCGGGGAGGAGGGGCGGGGGAGGGGGGAGGGCGGGGCGGAGGGGAGGGGCGGGGGGGGGCGGGGAGCGGGGCGGGGGAGGGGGCGGGGGCGGGCGAGGGGAGGAGGGGCGGGAGGGGTGAGCGGGGCAGGAGGGGCGGGGCGAGCAGGGAGGAGGGGCGGGGCGAGCAGGGAGGAGGGGCGGGAGGGGTGAGCGGGGCAGAGGGGCGGGGCGAGCGGGGCGGAGGGGCGGGGCGAGCGGGGCGGGAGGGGTGAAGGGGGCGGGCGGGGCAGGAGGGGTGGGAGGGGTGAGCGGGGCGGGTTGCAGGGGCGAAAGGGGCAGGAGGGGCGGGAGGGGTGAGGGGGGCGGGCGGGGCAGGAGGGGTGAGCGGGGCAGGAGGGGCGGGAGAGGTGAGCGGGGCGGAGGGGCGGGGCGAGCAGGGAGGAGGGGCGGGAGGGGGTGAGCGGGGCGGAGGGGCGGGGCGAGCGGGGCAGGAGGGGCGAGCGGGGCAGGAGGGACGGGAGGGGTGAGGGGGGCGGGCGGGGCGGGAGGGGTGAGCGGGGCGGGTTGCAGGGGCGAGAGGGGCAGGAGGGGCGGGAGGGGTGAGGGGGGCGGGCGGGGCAGGAGGGGCGAGCGGGGCGGGCGGGAGGGGCGAGCGGGGCAGGAGGGGCGGGAGGGGTGAGGGGGGCGGGCGGGGCGGGAGGGGTGAAGGGGCGGGCGGGGCAGCAGGGGCGAGCAGGGCGGGCGGGAGGGGCGAGCGTGGCGTAGGGGCGGGGCGAGCGGGGCGTGGGGGCGGGGCCGCCAAGTTAGTTCGCGGGAGTCCGGAGCCCGGGAGCGGCCGCGGCGGCGGCGCAGGTGCCCTGGGCCGGCGTCGGGATGGAGCTGCCCACGGTGAACCTCAAGGTGGCGGCGGGCGGGGCCGCGTGGCGGGGCCGCGTGGCGGGGGGTGGGGCGGGGGCGGGGGCGGGGGCGGGGGCGTCGCTCTCCTCCGGCGGGGCGAGGGGGTGCGGGCCCAGCGCGGTGGGCACGAGGGCTGCGGGGCCGGCGGACGGCGCGAGCGGGGCGAGGCCCGGCTGCGAGGGGGAGGCGGCTGCCGCGGCCGAGGGCTCCGGGGAGCGGCCCCGGGGGGCGGGCGGGGCGGCGCGTTCCCCTTCCCGGGCTGACCCCGCCGACCCCGCCTGGGCCTGCACGCCCCGAGCCCCCTGCAGGCGCCGGGAGGGGCCCGGAGAGCCCCCGCGGGCCGGGCGGACACCTGCCCTCGGGGACCCCGCCCGACCCCGCCCGACCCCGCCCGCGGCCCGCAGGCCCGGAGCCGGCCCGCCTCGTTGGCGTCAGCGGGTTAAGAAAACCCGCAATTCCCAGACACGGTTCCAAAGCCTGCGGCTCCAGCGCCCTTATTTCCCAAGACCCGGAACAACGGATAGAAGTCACTTAAAAGCAGAAAACCTCAACTCTGGGCCCCCAGGAGGACACTGCGAGGCTTCCTGCGGTGTCTTCATTTCCTGCGGCCTGTCCTGGCTCCTCCAGATGCCAGCGGCTTCTTCTTTCTGTCGCCGCCCCTGGCCCCACGGGCTCCGCTCCCGGGCAGCTCCCGGGCAGCGTGGGCGACCCAGGAAGGTGGGGGAGCTTGGCCCAGACCTGCCATTCGGGGTGTCGGGCCGCCCCCTCTGACACTATACCCAGGGACGCCCTCTTACTCACCAGTGACAAAGCATTTAGCCCCCGTGGGGTCCAGCATGGAAAGAAAGGGAGACACGGGGGACCAGGAAAGGACACGAGATCCGTGCTTGGGTTACTGGGGGGGGGGGGGGCGTCTGTGTTACGACTCCCCAGGGGCAGAGTTTTCTCTAATCAGAAGCTTCCAGGGGACCCCTGGGTGGCGCAGCGGTCTGGCGCCTGCCTCTGGCCCAGGGCGCGATCCTGGAGACCTGGGATCGAATCCCACGTCGGGCTCCCGGTGCACGGAGCCTGCTTCTCCCTCCGCCTGTGTCTCTGCCTCTCTCTCTCTCTGTGTGTGTGACTATCATAAATAAATACAAAACAAAATTAAAAAATTTAATCAGAAGCTTCCAGCCCGTGAGGTTCCCCGAGGGCAGCTATTCACCTCGGTCGGGGCAGGGGCAGCGGGGCGTCAGGCAGTGAGGGGTCCGTGCCCGCTGCTGCCTTTCCTCTGATGTGAGATTCGCCTGAAGTCGTTGCCAAGGGGAGCACCCGCTGAGGCACAAGAGCTGCAGACACTCGTGCCTGGAGCGTCTGTGGCTTTCCAGGTTGTTCACTTGATCACAGCCGCCTCCCGAGAAAGCTGATCCTGTCTGTCACCTTCCCGACAGGTGAGCAAACTTCAGCTCGGGTCACATGAGTAACCTGCCAGGGTCCCACAGGGATTAAGTGGCAGAGTCAGGCTTTGAGCCCACTGGGGCCGACTTCAAGGCCACGTCCTTTCCTGGCCATAAGTATATGCGAGGCAGGGTCTGGGACACCCTAACAGGGTTTTTCTTTTTTAACTTTTTAAAGATTTTTTTAATTTTTATTTATTTATGAGAGAGAGAGAGAGAGAGAGGCAGAGACACAGGCAGAGGAAGAAGCAGGCTCCGTGCACCAGGAGCCCGACGCAGGATTCGATCCCGGGTCTCCAGGATCACGCCCTGGGCCAAAGGCAGGCGCCAAACCGCTGCGCCACCCAGGGATCCCCCTAACAGGGTTTATTAACCAACATTCGAAACTGAGTGTTCTGTGTTTGTGTCGTTAAATCTGGCCATCCTGGGGGGGTGGCTGATGACTCCTTGCTGTAGGCCCTTCAGTGGGATGTTCTGAAGTCAGGTCCCCTCGGGGGCTGGGGAAATGCGCCCCTGTGGGCCTGCACCCCCTACGTTCTCTGGCAACTGGCTGAATGCCTGTCGTGCCCAGCCCAGCCAGAGTGGCCAGTGTGGTGCCGGCGAAAGCAACAGCTGCCCCAGGCCCTTCGCACAAAGGGCCGTCCCTAACCGAGTCCCATCCGTGAGGCAGGTCCTGAGCCGGAGACGTGACACTGTGACGGGCTTGGAAAGGAATAGGCTTCGGTCTGGGAGATCTTTCCAGAAAAGGCGGGTGGGAGGAGGGTCCAGGCTGTAGGGTAGCGTGCGGGCTTAAGGACTTCGGGAGCCGACTTCCTGATGGTAGTAGCGAGCAGGGCCGTGCACGGGGCTGACCACCTGGCAGGCTATTGTTGTGTGGTTTTTTGTTTTTTTAAAGATTTTATTTGTTTGTTCATGAGAGACACAGAGAGAGGCAGAGGCAGAGGGAGAAGCAGGCCACCTGCGGGGAGCCCGATGCAGGACTCGATCCAGGGTCCCCGGGGTCACGCCCTGGGCCGAAGGCAGACGCTGCACCGCTGAGCCCCCCAGGTGCCCTCTGTGTCCTGTGTTTGACGCCCCCCTCCACCACCCTGGGCCCCAGGCTCCACAGAACAACCCCACGACACGGGCACGATGGGCCCTACTTTATGGAAGAGCAAACAGCAGTTCGAGGGCTCGGCGAGTTGCCCGGGGTCCTGCCCCCCCCCGGAGCCAGGCTGGGAAGCCCCGCCTGAGTCTGCTGCCGCGGGAGGGTGCTGCCGTGGGCCTCTCAGCCCGGCCACCCTGGGGGGCTTGCCACCCCCTCCGCAGGCCGCTGGACGTTTACGCAGGACTAGTGCAAACGGGTTGCCTAGGAAGTGTGCCCCCCCCCGCCCCGTTCAGCCCTGGGCCCTCTGTGGCAAGCGCGGGGCTGGGTCCTGCCCGCGGCCCCCGGGCCTGCCCTCGGCCTGCCCTTCTGGCTCAGCCTCCTGCTTGCGCCGCTCTTCCCTTGCTCTTCCAGGCCCTGCGGCGCAGGCACGCCTGCGGCTCACGGGCTGTGTGACTCGCGCAGGCCTCCTAACCTCCGGGGTGTCCGTTTCCTCCCCGGAGGAAAGAAGAGGATCAGAATAAATGCTCCGTCCTAGGGTGACAAGAGGAGGATCCCGCGGTCCACGAGGGGGGTGGCGTTGCGTTTTTATTAGACCCGAGAGCCGTTCAGACGCCTGCACCGAGCGCCGTGTATCTGAGCGTCGCCGTGTGGGCCGCGGGATGTCCCGCCGCCTCGGGGTTAAGGGGGTTAAGAGCGTCGGTGCGCGCACACACACACCCACGCACATGCACGTGCGCACACATACACGCACACACATGCGTGTTCGGGGCAGTGCAGACGCAGCGGGTCCTGGTCGGGGGCGGGAGCTGTGTCGTTAGCGCTGGTGCAGGAAGCCTAAGCCACATGGGGACCCGAGGTCGGTGCGTGGACGCGCGGTGCCTGCGGGACCATGTCTGTGTGCGGGACACACCGCACTGGGACATGGGGGGGGACAGGGTGGCCTCCGTTGCACAGAGAACGAACCCAGTGCACAGACACCCAGGGCCGCGGCCCCTGGACCGGACCTCAGGCGTCCAGGGCAGTACCCCACGACCCAGGCTGCCCTGGCTCCCCACACACCCCCTCCCTGTCTCCTGGGGAACAGCCGGGCAACCCCCGGGCCGAGCACTGTGTGTAGAGTCCTGAGCCCTGGCTCTGCTCTTGCCCAGGCGCATTGTCAGAGCCCAGTGCCTCCCTCCCCCGGTCTCAGGTGGTACCTGGGGATCCCTGGTGTCCCCCCGGTTACCAGAAACCTCTCCAGCAGCCGGCACGTGGCTCTCTGTGCTGATACGAGTCGGGGGGCCCTCGTGGGTCGGGAGGGGCCGGCCCACGTGGCTCGGTTTCTGCTGGGAGCTCTCCTGGACGTCGGGCCTCTGCAGGCCTGCGTGGCTGTGCCCTCCCTCCCCTTACAAAGATGGGGACACCCGGGGAGAGGAGGCGTAGTGTTCTGGGGCTTTCTCCTCCCGGGGGCTGAGACACGATCCAAAGCTGCCAAGTTTCTTAACTATAAAATGAAAGTGATGTCACGTGGAGGGCACCCAGCGGCCCAGTTCCGGGTCGCTCTCTTCCCAAGACAGACGGCAGAGGTTTGGGCTTCGGGCAGGGGCCCACTGCGTATTCCAGGTCTTTCTGGCTCTTGGCAAAGTCTTTGTCTCGCAGGTGACACCGCGATTGCCCCCGGCAGCTCGCGTCCCCGCCGGCTTGCGGGTCTCAGCCCTTCACCCTCCCTTCATCACGCAGGCGCCGCGGGGCCCAGAAGCGCCCCGTGCTGGAGCCCCGCCGTGTGCGCGGTCTGGAGGTGGGAACCAGAGCGCCTGGAGATGGAGACGGTTCTGGAATAAAGGCCAACGAGGGGGGAGGCTCAGGTGTTGAGTCTTAGGCGGAAGGTGGTGATAGGAGCCCCTGCCCTGTGCTTCCTTCCCCGGGGTCTGCTCTTAGTGGGAAAGGCGGACGCCGCCAGAACCACTGCGGCCGGTCACGTGCTGTGGCCTTGAGGCAGGCTCCCCTCTGTGGGCAGGGTTTCCTGTCAAGACCGGGGGGGTGGGGGGGGCAGTGGTTGGCTCTTGAGATAAAGATCAGAACTCTTCCCCACAAGCCCCAGCCCCCCCACCCCGCTTCCTGTGTGTCCTCCAGTCTCCTGTCCAGCCACCTTGGCATCTTTCCAGTTTCCAGAATGTTCCGTGCTGCCTTCTGCCACAGAGCCTTTGCAGGTGCTGCCCCTTCTGCTTAAAATGCTCTCCTTTTTTTTTTTTTTTAAGATTTTATTTATTTGATGGACAGGGAGAGAGCACAGGCAGAGGGAGAGGGAGGCGTAGACGCCCCAGTGACCTGGGAGCTGACACGGGCTCCAGCCAGACCCTGGGATCGTGACCCGACCCCTTAATCAGCTGAGCCCCCAGGCGCCCCGTGAAATCTCTTCTTGACACCCGCCTCGCTCACCGGCCTCGTAACCCCCCCCGCCCCCCCCCCCCTTGTACAGGAGGCTCCTCTTCCTTTACTAGAATCTCCCTCGGAAAGACGGTCTCATTGGGGCAGCCCGGGTGGCTCAGCGGTTTAGCGCCTGCCTTTGGCCCAGGGCATGATCCTGGAGTCCCAGGATCAAGTCCCACGTCGGGCTCCCTGCATGGAGCCTGCTTCTCCCTCTGCCTGTGTCTCTGCCTCTCTCTGCATCTCTCTGTGTCTGTCATGGATAAATAAATAAAATCTTAAAAAAAAAAAAGAAAGAAAGAAAAAAAAAAGGCGGTCTCGTTGGACCCCTTGCTCTGCGGTGATGATCTGCTCAGCAGGTGTCTCCCGCCACGTGAGGTTCTGGGAGGGCCACCAGCCCCACGTGTGCCCCGCTCGCCGCTGGGTCCCCAGGCGGGTGCCAAGCAGATGCCAGGGGCGCCAGCTGACAGTCCAGGTGTCTGAGACACGTAGCCCCATTTGGTCACGTCTCGTAAGCCTCTGCGAACGGACACCCTGGCACCTAAGCCTCCTCTGCCTCGGTGTCCCCATTTTGTAATGCGAGGAGTGCACTGGGCCCCCAGAGGCTTGGCGGTCAGGGGCCTCGGCCTTCTCCCCTGCACACGGCTCCTCCGCTCCCCGCACAGGATGGAGGGTGTGTGGCCCTCAGGACGCGCCCGGAGCGCCAGCCCGGCCCCCCGGGTGACAGAGCGGCTTCCCCAGAGGCGGGCGCTGGGCCCCGGGGTGCAGCGGGACGTCCCGGCCATCTGACCCGATTCCACCTCCCCTGCCTGCGGAGAGTGTGTGCGGTTGCCACTGGCTCAGGCAGCTCCCCTGGACCCTGGACCCTGGGTCACACTCGCCGCTGACCCCTAGGCCCACCGCCCGCCGTCCGGGGAGCCCGGGGCAGCCTCAGCTTCCTGAGTCTGGTTTCCCCCTCTGCAGAAGGGGAGCGATCGTGGCGTCTGTTCCAAAGGCTCGCGTGAGGGCTGGGCGCCGCTGGGTGCGCAGCAAGCGGGGCTCTTCTCGCAGGGCTCTTCCCTCCACGGCCACGGCTCCTTCCAGCAGGTGCCCTTCTGCTGTTTGCGGGGTCCGGAAGCCTGGGCCGTTCCCTGCACGGCCCCGCCCTGTGTGCCCCCTCCTGGGCTCTCGGCGTCCCCCCCAGCAAGACTCCTCAATCCCCTGAGTGACTCCTCCAAGGCCCCCCTCTACCACAGGGACCCCGGGGAAGCCCCCGTGGGGGTCGGGGGGCCCTGGCCCCCTGCTGGTCCAGGTCTGCTCTCTGCCCCCCGCCTGGGCTCTGGCTCCTGCCTCCCCGTCTGTGTTCCCACCTGTGGCTCTCGCACACCCTGCCCCTCCCCTTTGCCAGGCTGGGCCCTGCTTGTCCCTTGGCACCCAGCGCCCTCCTCCTGAAGCTCCACCCGCCGCCGGCAGCACCCTGTCCTTCCCATGGCATCTGCGCCTCCTCCTCCACTTCCAAGCCGGGCCTTTGCCGTCACCAGCAGTGGAGACAAGTTCCACGAAGAGGGCTGTTATCTTAAACACATCCGGGACAGTGAAAGGGATGGGATAGCGCAGAAATCTAGAAAAAAGCGGGGGGGGGGGGTTGTGTTTTGTTTCCTTAAACCGCAGCAAGTTACTTCCTTGCACAAAGCCTTCGGTGGCTTCCCTCTGTGCACTTCAGATAAAATCCGTGCTCCGCTGAGGCCCCAAGGCCTGCTCCTCCCGGGCCCCCCGCCGCCCTCCCCTGGCTCTTCCCCCGGCCCCCGGTGTTCTCCCGCTCCTTGCACGCAGGTGGCCCCCCCACCGTACCCCAGCTCTGCTGTGCCAAGAAAGCAGCCTCGGTGGATGGAGTCCCACGCCCACCCCCCAGCCATTCCCAGTCCAGGCGTCCGCTGATGCCAGAGCCGATTGCCAGGGGCCCCCAAGGAGCCCCCCGCCTCTGGGAGCAGGAGGGGGTGTGGGTGTCTGCTGCCCCAGAGGACGCGGCAGCCCGGGCCTGGCCTCGCTCGTTGTCCTTCGCCTGAGCCTGGTTCGCTCAGTGTGGCTGGTGGGTTTTTGTATTTCAACAGGTGTTTGCAAAGCTTGTTAGGTCCTAGGCAGGGGCTTCCTGTGTTTCCTGGCTCCACAAGCCCCCCTGCCCGCCTCCCCGCCCCGGGGGCGTCTCACTCACAGTTCTCTCCTTCCTTCCCACAGATGATCCTGCTGGTTCACTGGCTGCTGACGGTCTGGTGAGTGACTCCGCAGGTGCCCGGTCCTGGGTCACGTATCTCCCGGGATCCTGTCCACGCGTCCCCTGGTCTTACCCGCGTGTCTCCTGGCCAGGTCTAAGACTAAACAGCCCCCTAAACAGTCAAGAACGTCATCAGCAAGCCCCCCGTGTTCCAAGACTGTCTGAGGGGCAGGCGGCTTCCAGAGGCCTTTGCCATCCCTGCCGCCCCCGCCCTGCCCTCCGTCGAGGCTTCAAGCCATCATCCTCGGGGAGGTGGCCGGCCCAGGGCAGTCCCCACGGCTCAGACCCTCCTCCAGGCACTGCCCTTTGGGGCTTGGCTGACTCTGGTTCCTCCCCAGGCCTTCGTGTCTGGAGGGCGTGAGGTGCTAAAGCCAGGGGGCTGGTCTCGTGGGCAGCTGGACTTCCCGAGGCAGCCGGGGGCGGGGGGCTAGAGCTCCTCGTGTCTGTGACCTCGGGTCAGTCACTGGGACTCCCTGCGTCGTTCTCTCACCCGTAAGACGAGGGCATAACTGACCCGTGTAAGGTCACCGGGCGGTGAACGCACAGCTTCAGACACTAATGGGCACGATGGCTTACTGAGGGTGTCTGGGAGCAGCCACCGGGCCGAGCACCTGTGGGTGACTCAAGGAGATGCTCACGACCCGAGGCGCAGGGCTGGACCCCTTTTCCCATATCGCAGTCCTGCCCAGAGACGGCCGACTCAGGATTCACACGCATCTGAGCAGGGCCTGGCACAGCCGGGGTGCAGCTGGTGACCTTACCGAGTGTCCCGCCCCCTGGGGCCTCGGTTTCCATCTGTAAGGACGGCACACCCCTCCCTATGGGGCTGGGGGGGAGGCGTGTCGTGCCATCCAGCCCCCGGGGCCTGCCGCCAAGGGGGGCCCGAGGGTGGCGGGCGACTCCACGATCGCCGTGGGGCTGCCGGGGCGACCTCGCTGTCCAGCCAGCGCTGGGAACCGTTGAGCTCCCGCGCCTCTGGCAGCCCCCCAAGTACGCTGCCCGTGTGGGGCGGCTGCGAGTGTCGCACACGGTCACGGCGGATGACCTCGGGAAGCAGGGTCAGGACACGGACTTCTCAGTCACATTCCCGGGGTTCTGGGTTGTGGTCGGGGCCGCACTGGCTTCTGAGCAGCAGGAAGTCAGGTGACTTCTAAGGCTGCGGCGCCGCTCACCTTCTGCTCTGAACTGCTGCGCGGCTCCCTAGGGCCGCTCCAGGGCCCGCGAGGCTGTGAAGGGGCGGCCCGGGCCGGGGCGAGCGTGGCTGGAGCGGCCTCTGCAGCGGCCCCTGAGCCCCCATCCCGGCCGCAGCACCTGGGGGCTGTGCGGCCTGGGCCGAGGCACGTCATCTCCCCCTGGCCCAGCTTCCTTGTCTTCATTTTTTTTTTAAACATTTTATTTATTTGACTCAGAGCGAGCACAAGCAGGGGGAGCAGGAGAGGGAGAAGCAGGCTCTGTGCCCCGCAGGGAGCCTGACCTGGGGCTCGTTCCCAGCACCCCCGGATCGTGACCTGAGCCCAAAGCAGCTGCTTCCCCAGCCGAGCCGCCCAGGCCCCTGGTGTCCTCACGTTCAGAGCGAGGGTCAGGGCGTTACCATAAATGCGCATCCCTGAGTTCACATAAGGCGCCTAAACGGGCCAGGCGCCCCCGGGGGCTCAGTGTTAACTATTTTCACTGGGTTGACGACCACAGAGGTAAACGCGTCAGTCGGCAGTTGGTGACGACACCCTGGAACCACACGGGGCGGCACCGAGTGAGGAAGAGCCGAGGGGGCGCGTCACACCAGGCGGTCAGGGCGAGGGCCCGGTGTCCCCGCGGGGCTGAGCCTCAAGCGGCACAGCAGGCCCCGCGTTCAGGGCGGCGCACGCAGGCGGCTGGTGGCGAGTCACGGGGCCCCTCGGGTCACGGGGCTCCTCGGGCCACGGGGCGGGTCTGTGTTTCGTGGCACGTGGGCAGGAAGCTGTGGGAGACTCAGCAGACGAGGGGCGGCACCCGGTGACGTTAGTCGCTGCTGTTGAGGGAAGGGCCAGCGGGCAGGAGTGGGCGTCCGGGGCCCGCAGGGAGAGGCCCCGGTGATGGGTCCTGGCGGGCGGGGGGCCGTGCGGCCAGAGGGGGCCAGAGCGGGGTCCCTTTGGGAAGCGAGGGCGACGGGGTTTGCTGCCGGTTCCAGCGCCCAGCTGGGCGGGAGGAGAGCGAGCGCCCCGGCCTCTTCACAGGGGCCCAGGACCCCGGAGCAGTGGCCTCGGGAAGGGGGGGCACCTGCAGGGTGGGCACCTGACGGGACCTCTTCCCACAGGGGCTGCATCACATTCTCGGGGCCCTATCCCTGGGCCAACTTCACCGTCCTGGCCGTGGGCGTGTGGGCCGTGGCTCAGCGGGACTCCATCGATGCCATAAGTCTGGTGAGGCGGGGGAAGCGGGAGGTGACCGGCCTGGGGGGCCGCAGCCCATCCCATCCCATCCCACCCATCCCATCTAATCCTGTCTCTTCCTGACGCCCCCACCCCCCCCCATTCCCAGGTGTCTCACCCGGCCTGCCTGGCTCTAAGAGCCCGGAGTCCCTCGTGGCCGCCCCGACAGAAACATGGGTGGGGTCCCCCAGGGGCCCCAGCGTCCCGCTCCTTGGCGCTGGAGCACGTGCCCAGTAACCCGCCTCTCCAGGGAGGGGTGCGGCCGGGAGCCCCACCAACGGGGAGCTCGTCTCCGTTGTGAGGTCAGAGCAGATGCAGCCGTGCTGAACTCTGTCCCAGGGGCGCTCCCCCAGCCCCGCTGCACCCTGAGGGCCCGTCAGGGTGACGGCGGAGGAAGGAGCTCCCCTGGCAGAGACGGACTGGGGAACCCGAGGGACCTTCTATCCCAAAGGTTCTGGAACCGAGTCTTGTGCCCCATCCTGGCCTCTGGGACAGGGAAGAGCGGGAGTGGTGACAGGCTAGGTCCAGACCCGGGTCCACCCTGCGCTCGACGCTGTCGCCCTCGGTCGGGCGTCTCACCCGCGGCTCCTGCCCGCGGCCCGACCTGCCGTCCAGCACAGCCCGGGGACGCGGGAGCGCGGACGGAGCGCCCGGGCTGGCGCGTGTGGCAGCGGACGGCACAGGCCCGCGTGCCTCTGTCTTGCAGTTTCTGGGCGGCTTGGCGGCCACCGTCTTCCTGGACATCGTCCACCTCAGCGTCTTCTACCAGCGGACGGGCTTCTCGGACACGCAGCGCTTCGGCGCGGGCATGGCCATCCTCAGCCTGCTGCTCAAGCCCCTGTCCTGCTGCTTCGTCTACCACATGTACCGGGAGCGCGGCGGTGAGCGCCTGCTGTATACGGGTGAGGCCGCCGCCCCCGGCCCCTCTGTCCCGCCTGACCCGCAGCCCCTGCCCCAGTGAGCGGGCCTGGCCCCGGGGTCAGGGGTCCGAGGGTGGGGCCGGGGAGCGGGGCCCCTGAATGCCGGGGAGCGGGAATGCAGGCTCCCGAGTCGCAGCGCACAGGCTGCGGGCAGAGCTGGGGGCGGGCCCAGACCCCGTGTCAACCGGAGCTCGATGCCGCGGGGCGGCCTGCAGCCCGAGGCGGGTAGGCTCCTGCGGGGCGCTGGGCCTAGAGCCCCCCTAGCAGCACGCAGGCTCCGCGGCCAAGGGACAGGAGCTGCTGGCCTGGGCCGGGCCCGGAACCGCGGGCGCTTTGTCTGGGGGCGTCCCGGCCACATCCCCTGGCCCACCGCTGCCCCCACACCCCTCCTCGTGGTGGCTGGCCCGTTTTCCTCTTCTCCTTTCCATGCTTCTCCCGTCCCTTCTCTCAGAGGCGGGGAGAGGGTAGGCGGTGGCCTTCCACTGTCCCCTCCCAAGGAGAGAGGCCCGATGGGCCCACGACCCACCCGCGGGAGCAGCTGGATCTGGGCAGCAGCAGCCTGTGGCCTCAGCATTGCCCTGGCCTGGCCCACAGCTGGGGACGGCCAGGAACGTTCTTGCCATGGGACAGATGAGGGAGCGGGCGCCCAGAGCCCCTGGGACTTGTGCTGGGTCACAGGACGGTGTGCAGGGCAGGAGGGGAGCGAAGAGCATGGGCACACGGAGTCCGCCCCCCTGGCACCCTGGGCTCTGCGAGTGCCAGCGCTGGGCCTTCTGCACAGTCACGTGGTGTCCACTGTGCGGGGAGGACCCTGCGGGCCCAGGGCAGAGAGCGCCGAGCGCGGGCTGCTCCGGGAAGGCCAGTGCAGGGTGGCCAGGGCACTGGCTGCGGGGTCACGCCGCCCTGGCGTAATGCCCTCGGCTTCAGGCTCTGCGCTCGGGGCCAGTCAGGTCCTCTCTTGGAGCCTCAGGTTCCCCATCTGTTAAGAGCACCCGCTCAAAAAATAAATAAAATAAAATAAAATAGATAGATGATAGATAAAAAGAACACCTGCTCTGTAGGGTTACGGGAGGACTAGCTGCGCACCGGCCAAAAGCTGGGGACTGTCACCCCCTCGGCGTCTCAGTGCCCTCCTGGTCGGGGGTGGATCTTGGTTGGGGCTCAGTAGAACGTCCTGAGTCCTCACCCTTCATCTTTCTCTTTCCCCTGTGACCCCCCCAGGTTTCCTTGGGCCGTCACAGGAGCGCAGTGACTACCAGACGATTGAGTCACCAGAGGTGCCCGCGGACCCCTTTGTAGGCTCAGAGGGCAGGGGCCACTCCCCGCAAGGGTACTGAGGCCAGCCGGCTTTGGCCGCAGCGCAGGGGTGAGGGTGGTGGAGCCCGGAGATGGCCCAGTGGCATCACCCCCCTTGCGCCGCGGGTGGCGTCCCAGAGATGCTCCTGACCCCACTCCCCTGTCTTGGACTACGTTCCCCTGTCCCCAACCCCCGTCAGGTGCCCTGAGTGCTCACCCATCCCAGGCTCCCTGCGGCCGCCTCTCCCTTCGCTGGTCCGGAGCCGGGAACCTGGGGTCTCGTTACCTCCCGCAGCTGCCCCGTGCAGCCCCGTCCCAGCCTCGCCCGAGCCAGGCCCCACCTGTGGCTCCTGGCCTCCGACTGCCTGTGGGTCGCACTCAGCCCCGGAGCAGCCCGGCACGCGGTGGGGGTCCTGTGCTGCTCACTGCCTGGTGGCTTGCCGCGTGGGGTCCTTGGGCTTGGGGGCACCACCTGGGGCCCACCACAGCCTCTGGCGGCCCTTCCCGAAGCCTGGCGTTGGCGTCGGGGCACATGGCTGGGTGTGCTTTGAGCCTGTAACCCCCAGCCAGGCCGTGCCTGGACCTGCCTGCGATTTCCCCTTTGAGTCCACAGCTCAGCTGGCCTGTCCGCTGTGGGAGGACGTGGCCTCACGGGCAGCCGGGCCCACCCTGCACCCCGCGTTGGCCCAGCGAAGGCCCAGCAGTGGAGGGCGCTGTGTGGTGCCAGCGGCCTCCGTGTGTCTGAGTCAGAGGGCTCGGGTACCGGCTTGAATCCCTCTCTGCCGCTTCTGGCCGCGAGCCTCGAGCAACTTCACGCCTCCGACCTCAGTGTCTTCTGGAAAGAAGCTAATAATGCTGCCGGGGTGGTGATGCAGGGGAAGCATGCAGTGCCCGGCCCGTGGAAAGCTCCCGAAGTGGCGGCACAGTTGGTGGACTGCTCCTTGATCCTGGGGTGCTGTGGGGTCCGTAGGCGGGGGGTGACCTCTTCTGGGCAGACCCTGTGTCTTGCTGTCGGGGGGACGGGGACCAGCACCTGCCCAGAAGCCCCGAGCATCCCACAGCCAGGCTCCTACCCTGTGTCGACTGGACCAAGTGCCTGCGCTCTCCCAGGCCGGCCCACTTGTCCCCGGCACGCACCCCCCACGCCCCGTGTCCATCCGTCCGAGGGCGCTCAGGACCCGCTGCTGCTGAGCCAGGGCTGCGGGGCTGAACCTGGAGCCTGCTCTCAGGGAACAGACCTCAGGAGTCTCTGTCAGGAGGCAGGAGCCCCACAAGGGTCCTGTGGGGAGGGACCCGCACTTGGCACCCAGGGACACCGAGCGGGGGCAGCTTCACCGGCAGGCGGGTGAATAGACAATCCGCGGTACGTGCACTCTGTGGATGTGGCTCAGCAGCCCGCGTGTGTGAATAAACCACACCTGTCTCTGTCGACGTCGGTCCCCCTGTGTGAGCAGATTGCAGAGTGGCCCCTGCGACGTGTTAGCATGAACTTGAAACCCGCCAGGCGAGCCCGTGTGTCGTTCATGAGCGAGTAGGTGGTGGACTAGAGAAGTGTGGGCTAGAAGGGAGGACCCTGCAAGCTCGTGGTCAGGGCAGCCTTGGGGGGCGGAGGTGGGGCCTCCGGGTAAGGGACTGACCCCAAGTTCTGGGTCCCTTGCTTACACCAGCCCCTGGCACATGGCAGGCTTGCGCCGCACGTGCCCCTGTGCGTATGTTGTGAATATATCAGGTTTTCAAGGGGAATGACAAGGTGAGGGGGACGCAGTGGGGGGACCGCTAACTGCCTGTGTCAAGCAGCGGGAAGAGTATGTTCAGAGACTCTGGGTCCTCATAGTCCCAGATCTTCAGATCAGACCGATCTTTACGGGGGGGGTGGTGCAGAGAGGGCCCCTGTCTTAGGTCGGGGTCCCCAGAAGCAGACCCTGAATGCAGTGTCTGGCTTGAGGCGAAGCAGGGGAGCTGGGCTCTCTGGTCATTGGCCAGGGGCTGCTCCAGCTTTGGGGGACGACGACTGAACCTCCCAGCTACTCTGGCTCCCCGAACCCGCAGGCCAAGTGGCCCCGGGAGCCGGACGGCTGGCCTGCAAGAGCAGGGCCCTGATCCGAGGCCCAGGGACAGCAAGGGCCCCCAGTGGGGTGCCCCCTCTCCAAACAGCAGGTCTCCTAACTGACATTCTAGCATTCGTTCAACAAGCAACCAAGAGCCTGTGGGAGCTGGGAGTCCTCCAGCTGCTGGGGCTGCCAACATCAGGGGGAAAAAAGCCCCAAGTACCAGGTGATTCCCTTTGATGTGAGAGCTTCCAGGCAGGGGAACAGCTCGCGGGAAGGCTTGAGCATGTGTGTGCCTGCCCAGCCTGTTTCCGGGCACAGTCAGGAGGCTGGCGTGGCTGGAACCAAGGGAGGGAGGAAAGAATGAGGTCAGAAGGGCAGCAGGGACCCGGTAGCAAAGGGTTAGGAGGGCATGTGGGGACTTTGGCCTGTTCTGAGTGCGCTGGGGCCGCTGGAGGGCTTGACGGTCTGACCTACACTCTGAAAGGACCCTGTTGGCTCGGGCGGGCGGGGAGAGGGGGGTTGCTGCTGGCCACATTGAACAGAACACCACGCACCCGTTCTCGGTCCCAGGGAGGGACATCCGAGTCCTGCCCACTGCACGCTGGAGGTCGGGGCGCCGAGGGCAGCGGGGCAGGCGCGCCCTGGACGGACCACGCTCTACTCGCGCTGAGAAAGGACAAGACCAGCTTCGGTGGGACCGGGGGCGGGGGGCGCGGGGGAGGTCAGTCCCCCCTGGCCGGCAGTAACCCCCGTGCCCTTATTCTCACCCCTCTCCGGCCCCGGTGGGAGGACGCTCCCCTCCCCGAGGACAGGCGCAGCAGTGGCGTGGGCCGGGGGCCACGTGACACACATGCTTGAGCAGAACAAAAGAGCAAACCTTGGACTTGAAACAGAGTAAGACATTCCCACACGGGTGACAAGGTCAGCTCCGCCTGCGTGGGCTCTGCATCTCTGGGTAAGGAAGTGTTCCAGCCTCAAGGCCCCATTGTCACCCGGCGAGTGGGATGCAGCCAGCTTGCAAGAGGCGGCCTTTCCCAACAGGGCAGCCCTTGGGTGTGTTTTGGAGGCAGAGCGGCAGGATTCACTCGTGGCCGGGGTGTAAGAAGGAGAAGGCCTGGGGCCCGAGCAGCTCGGAGCTCCAGCTGCCCCTGGCTGGGGGCGGACGGCAGGAAGGCCGGGTCCAGGGAAGGGCCAGACGGGAATGGAGCTTCCAACCGACCGTCTCAACAGCGTGCTCTTCCCAAAAGGCCAGCTTTTGTAGACTCTTTTTTAAAATATTTGTTTATTCATGAGAGACACGGGCAGAGGGAGAAGCAGGCTCCCTGCGGGGAGCCCGACGCGGGACTCAACCACTGAGCACCCCGGCGTCCCTGTAGACTCTTGCCAGCCTCCGCATTTTAGTCTGTAGCGTCAGCCGCTCTGGACACTCGACCGCAGGCTGCCAACTCCTCTTGCCTCCGGTCTCCTGCCGGTGAGGGCTGAAGCCACCTGTCCGGTTCCCAACTCTTGTGTTTCTTGTTTTCACAAAGCTGAGCTTTCCAGATGAGGGAGCCGGAGATAAGCCCTGGTCCCGGGAGAGGTCACTGTCCTGTCCTGTTGGCCGGAACTGGACCAGAGCCAGCCCTCCCCGCAGGGGCCCCCGCCTTAGGCTCATCCTGCCTCGAGTCTCCAGAACAGCCTGGAAATTCCAGCTCTCCCGGCCTCCCCCTCCAAAACGGCCCTAGAGCCAGAAAGCTTTGGTCAAATCAAATCCCCACTGCCCCCGTGACCGGCTGTACGAGACACGGGACAGCCCCTTCCTTCCCTCACCGTGACTCGGTTTCCTCATCTGAGAAGTGGGGATTGTCCCAGTGCCTGGCCCCGGGACGAGTGAGATCTGAAAATGTGTGACATCAGTGTTTCCCGTTGTGCTGTGACCGTGTTAATCATTGAGAGAGGGAGGGGGTGACGAGCGTAGGGGAGGAGAGAGCTTTCCTCCGTCTGTCCTCCGAGGGTCCCTGGCTGGGTCTGAAAGTTATACTGACAAACACGAACAGGAGAAAAGCATGTGCGTTTTCTCGAGCTTTCCCACGTACATGAGAACCTTCACAACAGAAGGACGTTTTCATGCCTTTCACACAACGAGACGATGAACGTGTGAAGAATTGAGAGGCGGGGGCCGGGCTGGGGTAGTGAAGGTGACGCAGCAGGAAGATCAGGGTTCGTCTAGCGAGGCTGGTTTAGGCAGATCTCTCGGAGAGGAACCCCCCCGTCTCCGGTGATAAGGATGTCCTCTCTCCCCGGCACACGGAGAATACCTTTCACGTAGGGGATTTAGGGCTTGTTTCAGGGAAGTTCAGGGGCCGGGGGCAGAGTGACTTTCTTGCTTCAGGCATTTTTTCCCCCAAAAGCTCAGGGTAAGACGTTCAACACGCCACGGTGCCAGGCCTTGGGGGTAGCATGTCCTGAGCCCATCAGTCTGTCTGACCATCCACTCATTTATTCATTCATGATCAATTCCGTAATAATTTATCGAGTGCTTTCTACAAGTTTTGAAAAAATTATAAAACAGAGGTTTTCCTCACTGGCAACAGCAGAGCCCTGAGGGTCCAGTTCTCCGGGTAGTTGAGGGCTCACGTTCATACCCATTAATGTAGAGACTGTTGACAGAGTCAACAGGTTTTATAAAACATCACCATGTCAACGATCTTTTTTTTTTTTTTAAGATTTTACTTATTCATGAGACACACAGAGAGGCAGAGACACAGGCAGAGGGAGAAGCGGGCTCCATGCAGGGAGCCCGATGCAGAACTCGATCCCAGGACCCTGGGGTCATGCCCTGAGCCCAAGGCAGATGCTCCACCCAGGTGCCCCCATATCAAAAATCTACACTCAGATTCACAGACTTGAACTCAAGGGGAGCTTCAAGCTCCCACAGCCCAGAAGTTTGAAAGTTTTAATTTCAAACCCTTGATTAAAAAAGAAATTTTGGCCAGGGAATAAGACAGAGCAGGTCTGGCAGAGCACGCCAGCACCACCACCGCTGCCGCCACTCTGAGGTAGGGCACAACTGTTCTACATCCACCTTATTTCATAGCTCGGGACACAGGCCCACAAAGAGGAGACTTGGCCGAGGGGTACATGGAGACTTCTTGATTTTAGGGCCGGAATGTGCTAATGTGGAGATTAGGGAGCCAAGGAGAATTTAAAAGGAAATAAATAGAACTTCCACAAATAAATAGAAAAAAAAAAAAAGGATCGTTGACATGGTAATGTTCTATAATAACCCGTTGACTCGGGATCCCTGGGTGGTGCAGCTGTTTAGCGCCTGCCTTTGGCCCAGGGTGTGATCCTGGAGACCCGGGATCGAATCCCACATCAGGCTCCCGGTGCATGGAGCCTGCTTCTCCCTCTGCCTATGTCTCTGCCTCTCTCTCTCTCTCACCGTGTGCCTATCATAAAAAAAAATAATAACCCGTTGACTCTATTATTTCCAGAAATAATAGAACAGTTAGAGACTCAATGGATGGGTTAATTCATAGAATAGAAACACCAGAAGAATACTAGCCTTGAAGATATATTCAAAGAAATTGCTCAGAATATACCAAAAAGCACAAATAAGAGAGGTTAATAAAGAAACAGAGGATAGCAGGACAAGATCCAACATAACTCCCTTGGAGTTCGGAGGGAGCCCCTGGGAGAGAGGCAATACTCAAAGGAATAATGGCAGAGAATTTTCCAGAACAGACAAGACACCAAATGCAGATTTGGGAAGCCAAACAATCCCCGCACGTAAGAAATCCACATCGATAGTCATCCTGGTGGCCCTTTGTTCAGCACTGCTTAACCTTGGACACCTGGAAGGGTTCTGGCACTGCTTTATAACAAACATAGAATGAGTGGTTCAGGACACCAAACATGAACATTAAGATCCCGAGAGCGGAGGCGGCTGACTGGCTACTTTTGATCTCAAGGTCATGAGTTTAAGCCTCGTGTCAGGGATCCCTGGGTGGCGCAGCGGTCTGGTGCCTGCCTCTGGCCCAGGGCGCGATCCTGGAGACCCGGGATCGAATCCCACGTCGGGCTCCCGGTGCATGGAGCCTGCTTCTCCCTCTTCCTATGTCTCTGCCTCTCTCTCTCTGTGTGTGACTATCATAAATAAATAAAAAAAATTAAAAAAAAAGAACTGTTTAAGCCTCGTGTCAGACTGTAGAGATTACTTTAAAAATTTTTTTTTAATTAAAAAATTAAATTTAAAATATCCCAAAAGCAACCGGGTAGAAAAGAGGTTGTCCTAAAAGAAATGACAATTACATGGGCAACCGATGTCTCAACAGCAACAAAAGGAGTCAGAAGACAGGGGGCTGGTGTCTTCAGAGTGGTGCGAAAGCAGCTGTGTGC